GGGAACATTGTGGCGGAATTTATCGAAATAGTATGGATAAGATTCGACACACATTCCTGAATAAGTGACCGACTGTTGGAATTTCAAGCGCATCACGTTCGTGGAAACAATGATTGCGTTGTTCCATGATAACTCCTCCATCATTCCGTAGTCATTTTGTGCTTCATGTGACAGGGATTATTTCAAATTAGACTACGTATTTAGGTAGCTAGTTACAAGATGAAGACCTCGCGCGTTTGCGAGGGTCCCTATCTACCCGAGTGAACGAGACGACATGTTCATTTCAACACCGACATTTGCCATCAATGTGTTGAACATTGGACAGGTGTGTCGTTCTTCATCACGTGTGTCGTATTTCATTTCTGTGTGTGTGTGTCGACTCTTGTCCGTCCTGCATCCGGCGCTTTTGGACAAATTTGACGACAGTTGGATATATTTGCTGATCTCGTACCACCAGTTGACCACCAGGTAGAAAAATCAATTTCTCCGACTGAAGGTGAGAGGGACACTCTAGATTGGCCTATAGCATCTTGGTCGGCATTGGTAAGTAACTGTAAGTCATCATGATTCTTGCATAATTCATGATCATTCCATCGTTCAAGTCTTTTACTGGCGAAACCTCAATGAATGATTTAGATAACGCCTTTCAAGAGCGCAGGCTTATGCTGATCGGTTGCAAATTTCTGACACCTGACTTCATATTTATATACCATATCTAAAGTGTTCTACAACCTTACTAGTAGTAGTAGTATTTTGGGTCATCAACCGAACGCGGTCCGCCCTCAAGCTCATTTTTGATGAACTGCCGAATTCCTCCTCTCGGTCGTCGTCTACGACACCTGACTTCATATTTATATTATCTATTACCATAATAGGACATATTTGCATATATATTGAGTGCGATTCTCATCTCTTCACTGTAAGGGCCTATTAACCAATGCACCACCAGGAAAAAGCGATGGCCCTCCGATAATAGCTGACAGTAACGGGAACTTTTGTAATCTTTGTCAGGCTGCATGACGCTGTTACTATGGTGCTGATCGACCTTGGCCTTTGAGCGAGCGAGCAACAGAGCATCACCACAAATGACAGGATATTTCCATGCATGCCTCAATGACAGGTACCAGGTCTCTGGTCTAAATTGTTCTTCATCTTTCATTGGCACGGAAACTATGTCGGCAATGATGATGGCGCCAGAATTGCACTGCGCCACTTGAACCACCCCATAAATTTTTTCGTAATCGAAATACGTTTCTGTAGCTATCGTGAGCTTGGCGGTATTGTGACGATAGACGCCCGATGGAGCAACAAAATTACATACCTGGGGAAAGGCTTTTAACGTCGAACTCCTCATACTTCATCCCCGTTTTGCATACCAAACCGTCTGGAGGAACGACCAAAACCGAAGCTTGGATTACTCCGCTATCTGGAACTTGCTGTCTCACAGGGGGGTCGGGGGTGGGTGCAGCTGCTTTGGAGCGGCGTTGAAGGAGGAAAGACATGGTGCGTGATGTTTGATTTTTTCCCTGAGCTGTAGAAGTGAACAGCGTTTACAGGGTTGGACGTTGAGGTTTGAGGTTGATTCATCAAAATTTGTATCATGGAGCCGCAGAATAGGGGAACTCAAACGATAAACTTGAGTACTTGAGTTCCCCTATTCAGCCTCGACGAATATATGACTGACCCCTTGCTGGATGTCAACTTGATGTCAACTGCATGCATCATCTGGACAAACCTTGCGACATACTGCAAGGGTCGTCGCGTCTCAGGATTTCAACCCTTTCTTCGGCTTTGTTCGAACTTTCAACTGTACATGAATTCTGGTTCTTGACTCTTGAGCAACGGATTATTGATCACCATCTTCAGGATCAAGACGATGAGGACGTATGAACGTTTGAGCACGATCTCCACCCTATTTATTGAATGTTAGACGAGTCTCATAGTATCGAGTTATAGCTAGGCGTATCTCCTTGTTTTGGGTAGCCGATATTCCATGGCTCCCATATCACCAAGATCCCAAACTCTCTCAAAATGCAAACCCGACTCATTCCCAAGCCTAATAAAGTCACTGAGGGTGCGCGTGCCCATGCTGTTGCACGCGACCATCAAGTGAATGTCGAGCGCGTACTGTCGGATCCTCCCCTCCCCAAAATTAGGCAGAAGGGGCTCGGGTGCTTTCTGAAATAAAGCAGGCTGGTTGTCGGCAAGGTCATCGGTGTTCTGCAAAATGTATTCCTCTGTTTCAGGCATCGTGAACACCTGTGCCATGCCGCTACGCAAATCCAGTGGTTACTCACGGACAAGAAGGCGACTATGTGGGCCCATTGCTTTTCGCACCCCGGTTAAAATTTTGATGCTATCGGCATCAGGCCAGTCATGGCTGGGAATATGGTCGGGTGAGTTGTCTGTATTGCGGTGAAAGACGTGCGCCTACATGACGTTCTTCAGCTATGATGAGTGAGAATAAGGTGAGAACTCAGTCAACAAAAGTCTCAAGATCTTACAATGTAAACATCACAATTCTGGGCGGGAGACTCACTCAAGAAGTCAAGGGGTTGAAACTCGACTCTGTTTTCTTTGATAGCTTCTGGACAGTTTCGCATCCAAAAGTCATCCTTGGCTTGTAGAATCCGATCAGGCAGATCTTGTAATATTATTTGCAAGGTCGGGAATTGTTTCGTCAGTCGGATGGTTACGTCTCCAATTCCGCCGCCAACGTCGCAAACGGAAGCGCCGTGACGTAGTTCTCCCCATGGGTACACTGTCGGCAAATGTCAGCAATGGTGCGGGAACGACTGTAACGAAATTTTTTGGACCTTGGGTGAGAGCGTATGCTTCTGTAGCTTCGTTCCAACCTTCCATTCCAACAGCGAATCGGGCGCCTCCTTCAGTGGTCTATACACTTAACATATCAGATAACGCCCCAAAGGTCCAGACTGAACGCACCTGGAAATGGTCAAACAGGGGCCCGGGGAAACCTGTATATCTGTTGAAAGCAGCGTGGCAGGGCTCATAAGAGAATCCCCATTCGATATCCGCGAGGACCTCAGGTAGCAGCGCAGCAGATTTGAAGCATATGTCGGTGCTGTAAATTTGAAAATCAACATCGATGTCTTCCATGCTAGCATTTTCACAGAATGGACGAACCAAAAGAGTCCAATGTTGATTAGAGGGTTGTTTGACAAGAGCTGGATGCTGAGACGATTATTCGCAAAGACATTTGCAGAAACTAATAGTCAATGGGTCAAAATACGATCGCGACATCGTGAAGAGGTTGACTACTGACCCTCCCGAAAGATATGTTTCGACGCCAAGAAGCGCAAAACCCTCCCAAGCTTCCGCTCTTCAATCCCTGCTTTCTTTCCGATATCAGATATGTGCATTCCCGCGTTGGAGGGATTTTCTTGAAGGATATCGGCGATCTTGAATTCTGTGGCGACTCTCAAACAGACAGGCTCGTATGACTGTACGACAGTTAGCCTTCATTCCGATCACAGCATGAATGCAACATTTACACCCATAAATCGCTGTTCAAAGCAAGGAAACGTTGGTAATTTTGCAGGACATGAATATATTAGACATACATTGAGCACGATATGGTTCGGACGCGCGACGCTAGCGGACAGTTGAGCACAAGCACCTTCAATGGTTTGTATCGCTGTGCGTAAGTCTCTGTCGCTTATAACAGCGTCGAGTGGGTGAGGTTCGGTATCGTCCAGCGAGGGAACGTAAGGCTTTGCATCGACTTTCTCGTAGTGCGCCTCCACGACCTTCGTCGCGTCTGCGATTAGGGCCACAAGAGCGGATAGTAGGCTGTCGCTATTCGGAGGCATGACTTTTCTATGTGCAGTTGGTGGGTTTAGCCTTCGGGTTGTGAGGCACTTTTGTAGTCGCCCCCAAGTCTTCCGACGTTGATGGTAAGCGGCGTAGGAAAAAGCGTATTGACTGAGGAGAACAGATTCTTGCTTCTTCGCGTGTATCAAACAATCCCTATCGAACCTCTGATTGAGACCCATAAGGCTGGAATAGCAAAAGTGGATGATTAGCTGCCACTGTTGGGACGCATGACTTTTCTGTGTGCTGTTGGTAGGTTTAACCTTTGAGGGACTTTTGTAGTCGCCTCCAAGTCTTCCGAAAAGCCTTACTGACTGATGAGAACAGTTTCTTGCTTTTTAACGTGGATCAACCACCGAACCTATTAGTGAGATAAGACTGGAGTCATTGACAGATAGACAGGTAGAGCTGAACAGGGGCAGAGGCGAAGCCGGTTGAGTCGGACGAGATCCTAAATTCTGTGAAAGTGGCGTAAGAAGAGTCTTGCCGAATCAGACGTAGAACCTTTCGGTGAAATCCACAAGACTGGAGTCATTGACAGGTGGGGAGGTGAACACAGTCGAGTTGGACAGTCCGCCTGATGCGGTCGCTGAATGCGGTGAGTAAGCCGCCTTTCCGTGAATGGGAATCGAGTTCGACTTAAAGTGAGAGAGAAAAATGCCAAAAAGTGATGCACTCACATACCAGCGGACAAGAAAGTCCGCGGTCTTGTTCATAGGACACCTGGGATGCAGGGAGAAGAAACCCATTCAGAGCCTTAGCATTGGAACGGAATTCGCGAAATGGACATTGAAGTATGTATAAGTTTGAGTGATTGATGGACTGCATACAAGCCGTGGCATAACGCATAAAAACTCCGACATGAAGAACCACCCCAACAGCCAAGAGACGGCCCTACCTCCCAAAGCGTGTATGTGATATTTTGGATGGTAAGATACGACACGATTATACCTTGAAACCGCGCGACTTTCGGCGACCACGACCTTGCTCGAACTAGAATATTTAGGTAAGAAAAAACGAGAAGGAAGCTACGTGAGCGACATACTTTGCGGCCCTTGGATTGGGTGTAGGGTTTCTTGTTCTTGTGAGGACCTACAAGTGAATCAGCAACCACCAAAAAAAAAATTGGACGCTAAACGAACCCATGCCAAAGTGCTTGTACGCTTCCCTCGCAGTCTTCACACCCCTCAACAGCACCGTGTTAGAACCCTTCGGTGAACGGAGTGCGAGCTGATCCAGAGTAATAGCCTCGCCACCAGCGTTGAGGATGCGCTCCTTTGCTGCACGTGTGAAGCGCAGAGCGGCAATTGTCAATTTGGGGACCTCGGTCAAACGGATATCGTCTGTCACTGTGCCAACTTGAACGATAATTTTTGATTCACGCTCGGGAGTGTGTGAAGTCTCCTTGACGATGCGCGAGAGGGAGAGAGGGGGACGGTTGGTCTTGGAGAGGAAAAGTCTGTGGAGGATAACCTAGAAAAGTCGGAGTTCAGCAGATGGTGTAGGGTCTTTCGTGGAAGATATAAACCTTGTTAAAGTTGGCATCGGTACGGCGGGCGAGGAATCGGTAGAGCTGGAAACTAGGTGTCAAAATCTGAAAAGTCCTCTGAGGTGAATGAGAGCGCAAACCTTGACGAGGAGAAGCAAATAGGGATCCTCGCTCTTGGGGGCGGTACGGGCCCCCTTCTTGACGTGGTGGGCGGTAATGTCGATACCCTAGTGCATATTATGTGAGTAAAACCACCCCGCCGCTGGCAACGACGACGAGCTCACCATCTTGGTTTCTTGCCGGAATTGGTAGTCTGATTGGTGGCCTGCTTACAGAGGCTTGATGAACTGTGCAGTCGAACATTTGAGTTCAAGCTCCGCTTAAATGCTGTGTCAGTAGAATTCCCACTTCCCATACGCGAGTTCCAGTATTAAATTGTGGAAAAAATCAGATTCTCTATCCAGGAGGTCTATTCATCTGAGATAGAATTTCTAGAGCTACGTGGGCAGGATGTCAAGTTTTCTACGCGCAAAAGAATAGGCGCTCGCGGACTTGTAACTGAGTCTCGTCGCCAAACACTGGACAACAAGTTGTGACTTGAAACCACCATGGTGAGTTTTTCTTGCTGACCCTACGCCCACTTTTTGCAACTTTTGACCATCAACATGCAGTACGGCGAAGCTCCCTCAGCCAACGTAGACCCTTACTCCGACGCATACAATGCCCCTCCCGCAGCCGCCCCCGCCGACCGCGACCCTCCCCCTCCACGAGGCAGGTCTCGCTCAAGAAGTCCTGCTGCGCGCAGCACCACTGGCGCCAACGGTACCAACGGCAACGACAGGGAGTACCGCAGTCCCCCTTTCCGCCGTCGTTCTCCTGCCCCTGCAGGCAGGAGGCCTCCTCATGCCCCAATCGTGCGTTCCTATTTTACTTTATTTTTTACCTTGTTCTATATGTGTATGCTCACAAGATTCGGCAGGCGCCCAATCCTTCCAACGTTCTTGGCGTGTTCGGCCTGAGCATTCGTACCCAAGAGCGCGACTTGGATGAAGAGTTCAGCCGCTTTGGCCGCGTTGAGAAAGTCACCATTGTCTACGATCAACGGGTCGGTTTAGCTCACTCCGTTGCCTCATGTCGTCTAACCTTTCCAAGCAGTCCGATAGGTCGCGCGGGTTCGGTTTCATCAAAATGGCAACTGTTGAAGACGCCACCAGGTGCATCCAGGAACTCAATGGCGTTGTATGTTGTTTTACCTTGTTCATCAATTCATTTTCATATCTGAGACATTCATATTTAGGATCTCAATGGCCGTCGTATTCGTGTGGACTACTCCGTTACGGACCGCCCGCATGCACCCACCCCAGGAGAATATATGGGTCACCGTCGTGCTGGAGGCAGGGATTCCTATCATGGCGACCGTCGTGATCATCGAGACTCCTCCTACCGCGACTCTCATCGTGACCGTGACTCTGGACGACGTGGAGGAGACCGCGAAAAGGACCGCGATTTATACGGAAGGGAGAACCGCGATTGGCGTGACCGCCGAAGCCCCCCTCCTTCCCGAGGTGGACGCTACTCTCCTGAGTACAGGCGTAGGAGAAGTTATTCTAGGAGCCCACCTCCTCGAGGAAGCAGCCCTCCACCACGTAGGGAACGGGATTACGATGCCCCTTCGACCGCTGCGCCTGCCGCCGCTGCCGATGCCCCTCGCTGGTAAATGATTTTATTCTCACGTTCAGTATCTTTTTTTCTCTCTTCTATTTCTCTACTTTTTCATCGTGTTGTGGCCGGCCGAGTGTTTGCAAGATCACAGGTGCTTCATGGTCAAAAGGCGAAGAAAGGTCAAAATAATTGGATCAAGTGATGAAGCACTGCACGACTTTCCTTTCATTCCAATTGTTGTCTACAAAATCCCATGCCTCCCGTGTCGTGAAGAAAGAACATCTCTCAGATTGGACGTCGGTCGTTATTCAATAGTCAAATTTTCAAGTTGTCAAGTGCCTCTAGTAATCTCGTTCTCGCTACCATTGTTTCCAAGTACAGAAGATATCTCTGCAAAATAGTCTCTCCCTCGTAAAACAAGTATCAATGGGTCAAGTGGCGAGCTTCTACTATCGCCCCCATCAGTTGGTGGCAGTACTTCTGTGCTGTCCAAGAACGGGTTTCCTCTTGGGACGTGCTGGAAGAGAAGCGCCAGGACAGCCTCATTCTTACGGCATACGGCCCACGCACCTTTAATGGTTCAATTGCGGCGCTTATCACTAGGGTTGTGGGGAGATTCTCTCAACTTGGTAACCAAGATATCGTTCTGGGCGTTTGAGCAAGGTTTCTTCGGAGACGGTGTCAATGCACGAAATTCGGCGTTTATTCCCCTACGCAAGTCCATCAATGTTGACCCTTGGTTCAAAGGTGAGTGACTTATTTCGGTTGGGCATCTATGTCTCCAGGTTATACTGCTAGAGATTATACTGTTAGATAGATATTTATGTTTAGAGTACATTGAACACGCTATTTCGTTCAACAGGCTACAGTTTGAGTTTTGAGATGAACTTAAAAGTCAACACGAACTTACTGACGGGAAAGGTTCCCACGATCGACGACCGCTTTGGGAACACCGCGACCTGACAGAATTTTTGCAGCTACCTCGCAATCTAGCCCTTCTACCTCCTCCCTTGAATCATGCCTAAAATCAGGAAAAGTACGACCATCATTCGAAATTTGCTGTTCCGAGCTGTTGTGCTGACCCCGAGGTAACAGAAACTACCAATAGGGCCAAGACGAATGACCGTGCTAAGCTGAAGCATAAAGTCAAGGAGAGTCGGAAAAAAAAAGTCAAGGCGGCGAAGAAGAATCCTCAGTGGAAGTCAAGTACGTTATCTGCATTGTTGCCGACGAATTGAAGCTGATGAAACGACTCAGAACATAAGAAGGATCCTGGTATCCCGAATGATTTCCCGTATAAAGACCAGATTCTTGCAGAGGTTGCTGAGCAGAGGAGAGTTGTGCGTTCTTCTTCTTTTTACTTTTTTGGGGATGATTTTCCGATTTAATGAGTGTGATGGATGTAGGCTGCAGAGGAGAAGCAGAAGCGTAAAGAGGAAAAACGACTTCTTGCTGCGCGTGCCAAAGCTGGGCTAAGCAACGAGGAAGGCGATGATGCCGTGTCTCAAGAGCAGATGGAGGTGGACCACGATGATGAACTTGAACTGACGGGTAAAGACCGATTGAACGTCGGCTCGGACGGGATCGCCAGTCTCAGCGCCAAGCTGGTAAATAAGGCTCTGAAGCCCCGGCCTAAGCCTGTTGAGGTGGAAGAGGAAGACGAGGAGGAGGAGGAAGACGACGTTCCGGTGCTTATTAATCGCGACCTGCCAAACTTGAAATCGGTTCTGGACAGCGCGGACGTGATTGTTCAAGTTCTGGATGCGCGGGACCCGATGTCGTGTAGGAGTCTGCATTTGGAGATGCTGGCGAAGGAGAGTGGGAAGAAGATGCTGTTGGTCGTGAATAAGATTGGTACGCTCTTTTTTTGAGAATTTTTTCCGGGAAAGAAGTTGATAAGTTTCGTTTAGACGCATGCCCCCGCGAGGCTGTTGCATCTTGGACTGCGTACCTTCGCTCGGAGTACCCTGCGCTTTTGTTCCGCTCTGCGACTGCGTTCTTGCCTACGGGTCCTGAGCAAGTGAATGTCAAAGCGAAAGGAAAAGGCAAGGGAAAGGTTACAGTTCCCGCAGACGACGCTGTTGGCGTTGATTCCGTTCTGGAATGCCTGGGGCAGTGGGCTCAAGAAAAAAGAAACGAGGTGCCACTTACTGTCGCTGTCGTTGGTATCACGAATGTGAGTCTGACATTTTCACTTTGCGATCTTTTTGCTCATGAGTTTTCTATTCAGGTAGGCAAAAGCTCTTTCGTGAACTCGCTGCTACGGAAACGAGCTCTGCCCGTCTATTCCCTCTCCTCGTCGTCTCGAGGACCGACGACTACCGAGCTCCCTCAGGAAACCACGCTGGAAGTGGCAGGGAAGCAAATACGGTTTATAGATACCCCTGGACTCTCATTTGCTGCACACGATGATGAAGAGGAGGGTCATGCCCAAGACCAAAACGAAATCCGCGGTCGGGATATCCTACTACGAAATAAAGGTCGTATAGACCGCCTCAAAGATCCATCCTTCCCTGGTATGACTGAACTTTTCAAACGCCGAGGTAGACCTGACCTGGTTTTTTCGTCTAGTCGCGCACATCGTGGCACGCGGAAACGCCGAAGACCTCATGTTGCTGTACAGCATACCTGCATTCGCAAAAGGTGATGCAGAGGCCTTCTTATCGGGTGTGGCCCGCGCTAATCAGCTAATCAAAAAGGTGCGTTTTTCTCTTATCTTCGTATTTACGGTCCGCTGAGTACTATAAAAATAGAAAGGGCAGCTAGACTTGACAGGTGCAGCACGCATCGTGTTGAGGGATTGGAGTCTTGGGAAATTGGCGAGATATACCACAGCCTCTGCTCCTGCGCCTTCATCGGACAATGCTGCCCTGGACGTGGCGAAACTTTACGCGAATGATGAACCTATTTTAGCTTCTCTGAAGACGCGGAAGGAGATGAGGAAGGCAGGGGGTGTCGTGAAATTCTCGGCGGGAGCCGTTGAGACTAGGAAGGTGGCTGTTGATGAGCCTTGGGTTGGGCTAGCCGGCGAGGACGACGAAGAAGGTGAGGAAAGCGAGGAAGATGACTTGGAAGTTGGCCAGGATGAGGAGGACGAAGATGAGGAATGTGATTTAGACGAAGAGGACGACGAAGAGGAAGAGATGGATGAGGGAGAGGACACCGACGACGACGAAGATGACGAAGAAGATACCCTTCCCCCATTCTCAAATAAACAAAAACGAAAACGTAGCGCAGAGCCAGCACCCCCTGCACCGCCTTCAAAAAAGGTTGCGTTCGCTGCCGACCCAAAAACTTCAAAACAAGCGCGTAAAGCTGGGTCACTAAAAATCAAAGCGCAGCAGCAGAAGCCCGCGCCCGTCCCAGCGAAGAAGGTGGAGGAACCAAAACAACCACTCAAGGCTGTGGAGACGGCGAAATCCAAGCTTCCTGTGAAGGAGAAGAAGGTCGTGGAGAAAAAGGTCGCTAACGTGGCAGCGAAGAAGGCTAAAGGTAGTAAACCTGCGAAATCTCCTACCACAAAAGGACCAGAGGCTTACGACTTTAGCAAGTTCTTCTGAACGTTTGTACTACTTGTATTACGATTGTGGCTTCAAGGCTCGATCTGTTTATTGCTTTTGACATACCGAGCTCTGTCGTTGTAGGCGGCGCTTGTTGGAAATTTTGCGCCCACAGCAGCCCACAACACGTGTTGAAAAAACGCGTCGTTGAGGGTTGGTTGAGGGCTTCTTGGAAGGAACTTCATCACCGTAAAACCAAGGCCCCGCATCTCGCCAACCCAACAAAATGATGGGGTGTTTTCGCCGTAAAACACCATTTTCTCTACCAGCCCCTTCCCTTGTCATGTTTCAACGTCAAAGCATTCATTGTCCAACACATATGATACATTGTCTGCGAATATCCTATTCGCCACGATCTCGGTGGAATATTCGAAGTCTCACCTTATACTTTGGTTATTTGCTACTCCGGTCAACACTGTGACGGTATGACCTGGAGATTAGCACCTACAATGTACCCCTTTCCCTTCACATTCGCGATCACATGGCTAACTAACCTTGAACTGACCTCGAATAATGAAATCAGATCGTTGTTCTTCTCCATCACGGATTCCCTGTGTCGTTGGCCCTATACTTTCGGCTATTAACGCCCGCAAATCTGAGGTTGGCTGGTCATGGAATGCTAGCTTTGCTTCCTTACACAGGGTGTTTTGGCATTTCGATGCCGTCAATCACTGCCTTGGACGCATCGTGATTCGTGCGGGCTCAGGTTCGTCGCAGTCAGATGCCTTCCCAACGTTCCGCACATCGGACGGCGACACCGATTACACCCGCGCGTTCTTCAAGCCCTCGGGCACTCGCGCCTAACCCAGCAGAGAATCCCAGATTTGGAAAGCCAGGGGGATTGCGCGGATAAGAGAAACCCATATGGAGTTCGTTTCTAAACCCTCAGGCGTTTCCATTTCGGGTCTCGAGGCACGTTATGGGTTCAGAGAATTGGGCTGGATGGGCTTTAATTGGGACAAAAGCTTGACCTTGGGTCGTCAGTTTAGCCATCAGAGCTGTTCCCAATCTATCTTTCATTCAGCAAAGTAGCCCCAAATCGCGTCAAGGCTCCACGGTTCCCTATGAGACGGTTTCCCTTGTCCCAACGCGTTCGCGATTGGAGCTTAAACCTGAATCATAGCGGCTTTTGCTTAAAAGCGCACTCCACTTTTTGAACTGATCCCCATCAATCGCCTCCTCCACCCAGCTAGTTGTACGTCTTGTGATTTTCGTCGTGGGATACATCTGACATATCTTGACATCCGTTCAGCGCACTAAAGATGCCGCGGCCCCAGATTTTTCCAAGACTAGACGATCTTTCCCGGCGCTCGTCAGTCTCACGAGTGGTCAGTCATGGACTCTCCCAAGACCCATACGAAACTGACAGGGGACAGAACGCTTTTATTCCTGACTCAGCCTGGCGCAGTGCTCTACTTTCGCCACGCAGAACTTCATTCGCAGATCAAGGACTGTTCGATCGCTTGCCAGTCGAGCTTCACGTCGAAATATTCAGTCACTGCTTATCACCATTCCCAATCCTCAGTGTCAAAGAAGCCCCATTCCTAATTGCACTGGTTTGCAAAGCATGGAAAGAGCTGGTGTACAACACTCCGCGACTTTGGTCGTCCTTCGAGATCGAGATTCGGGGCTCACCAAGCGGCACTTTAGCGGACTCGGATTTGCGCCTCAGCAGGCTTATGAAGATCTGGCTGCAACGTTCCGGCAGCAAATATCCTCTCTCCGTTCGTGTGGTACACGACCCTCTGGGCCGTGTAGACGATGTCCGTTCCGCACCACTGTTGCTTGATATAATCAAGCACGCCCGACGATGGCGACATGTCGAGTTTGTGGTTCCAAGCGCGAGTCTAGCCGTTCTCCAAAATACCCTCCCAGAAGACTTTCCTACTCTGCGTTCATTGACCATTCAAATGAAGGGACTGTGGAATTCCTCTGCCGGGCTTGACATCCGAACAGCCGGAATCCCCTGGGCACAGCTCACAGCACTCGATTTACAGGTCGAGAGCCACGTATTAACTCTGGATGAATGCTTAGAGCTCCTCACTAAAGCAGTGAACCTCACATCTTGCACGTTGAATGCAGAATGTGTGCTCAGTTCACAAGCGCCAGATTGCCAGTCGTTGCAATTGCCAAGTTTAACAAGCCTCCATCTGATCCTCCAAGGGGGAACGTCAGCCCTAGCCGAGGAACCAGAGGCGTCTCTAACATCCTTCTTGAACTATTTTACGGGCATGGAATTAGAATCATTTCATGTCGAGTGGCTCGTCCGGTCTAGAAGTTGGTCGGGGACGCACCCAGCCTTCGTCTCCTTCCTTCAGGGATTATCACCTTCGCTGCGAAGTCTAAGCTTCGCATATCTCCCACTTGAGGAAGCAGAGTTGATGGAGTGCTTAGCGCAGCTGCCTTACCTTACCGGAATGGACTTGCGCTTTTCATTGGGAGATCGAGTGAACGATCCTATCACTGATGGGTTATTGCAGCACTATACACTGCCAAGTTCGATCACCTCTCTCTCTCCCTCCTCACTCCCAAGTTTCCATCCATCTCTCTCCCTCCCTTCGCTGTTTTCATCTTTGGATAAGAAGAAAAAACATCCTAGAGCCGACTCCCCCATTTTAGGACCTCCGTTAATCCTTCCGGCCTTGGAGAGGCTGTATCTGCAATGCAATGGAGAATCATGCACCAACACAGCACTCCTTGCATTAATACAGTCTCGATGGAACCCCAATGCCCGCAAAGACCTCTCTTTGGCAATGTCATTGAAGTATGTCCACTTTGTTTCAATGAAGCCTGCCGACTGGGACGTCCAAATGCAGGTGAAACAGTGGAAGGAGGAAGGTTTGGATATCATGGTCGATAGTTTTAATATTCGATGATCAAGTGTTTAAAATGGGGCTCGATTTTTCACGAAATTGATTATGGGGACGCTGCTATAAACTTGTTTCATGTTGCATGTAAATGAAAGCTAATACAATGTCAATCCATATGTGAATGGGACCGTCCATTCGCTTTTCAAGATCAAGAAATGTGACGTTTTGCGTGTAGAACGGACAGGAAAACCAAACGGGAATGCAAATATGTTATTCAGGACTGGATTGTTCAAGGGCTTCACGGCAGATCCATATTCCTCATGTCAGAGCCTGAAGGAGGCAGAGACAAAATCTCCCACCGTCGCCAGGAGCAGGTAACCGAGGGTTACATAGCTCACACTGTCAGTGTGATCCTGTCAAGCGGCAGAGGTCGGCGATGCGACGCTCAGGCTGAACGGGATCAACCAACGGGGTTTCCTTACTCGTGAAGGCGTTGGAAGTTACCAAGCAGCAGCTGCTTTGCAAAAACTTGCCGTAAATTGGACGTGAGTCGATGATTCGATCTACATAGGTCGGCCCAGAACATCGTCTAGGATGAAATGGTCATGGGCGGCGGCGAGAAGCCGGTCAAGAGCCCTGATAATCAATTCAGCCCGAAGGTAAAAGTAGATGGGTGCGTACATGTTGGCAACAGCCGTAAGGTAGTCAAAGGTCGTTTAATCTGTGAGTGAACGCGACTTTCTGACGAGAACGTTTGGAGGGAAGGACTGGACACAAAATCATGTAACGTACGTTTTTCTTTGCTTCGGCAGATCAGAAACAATGACGTGGCGAGCAACGGTTCACACACATTAACGTCGAAGACAGGAATGGGTTCGTAACGTTCTCGTCATCAGGCATCCATCCCTTGCCAACGTGGCGGCTGCGGGTAATATCAGATTGAGTTGAGAACGTAACTGCGCAAAAGATCTTCATGGTATGCCACGGATGCAACCAGGAGTAAGGTGGAGCAGAATCCAACAGGCTAGGGGTCTTGGTTAATAAAGGTGTTGGCCGTTGGCATTTCGAACAAGAAAAACAATCGCCGTCATCAAATGCTGGGAATATTCAAAGGGAGGAGCGGCAACTGCTGGTATGGCCCACGTTGGCGGACGCTGTCGCTATTGTGTGAACGAGTAGGTTTGTGGGTAGCCTAGATAGTCCTGCCAGACGCCCTCCGGGAAAGCAGAAGCGCTAGGAGGGAGCGGTGTAGCTAACCTGGTGGAAAGGTTGGAAAGTGTTATCAGTGTGGTCAGCGCCCAACTGAATTCAGTCTATGGCCAGATGCCAGACTCGCGGCAGAGATGTGCAGGTGCATAGTTCAAACGTGTAGGGAGGTTTTGGCCCCTGATATTCAGGACGATAATGCAGTGGATCATATGATGGATTGGGCATATAAGAACATGGGTGCATGCTGGGTGAATGACGCAACTAAAAAAAGAGAGAGGGAAATAATACAGCGCCCCCAAAATCCTACGACGTTCAGCAACCCTCCATCTCGCCGTGATAGCGTAAGTTCCCCATGTCAAGCTCTAACGAGAAGCTTTTTGTTTACTTCTCAGGGTTGGGGTTCCTGTAGGTCATCGTCGTCAGTTGGAATTCCAATAGACAGCAGAAGTGTAAGGGGGAAATAGAGAGTCAGATAGGAGCGAAAGACGTTTAGATGCTTGTTTGTCAACACAATCGTTTCAGTGTGAACTATGCAAAAGTGTATCATCGTTGAGAGGTGCCAGCCAGCCATATAGCCGAGAAGTGATAGGCAAAGAGCGCCATGCGAAACTGAAAAACTCACATTCTCCGCTTTCCTCCAGGTAGTGTTGTTACGTTCACGAATCTAATGATACCAAAGTCAGAATCCACTTCACAACAATCCCATCGGAAGGTGCTCACCGGCGGTTGTAGAGAATGCGTTTCTTAGCACGGCCCTTTGGTGTCTTTTTCTTCTCCTGCTTCTCGACCTTTGGTGTTTGCGATTTGACTTTGCCGGCACGGGCGAGCGATCCGTGAACTGTTGTGACCCATGACTACCGTCAGATACACTCCAGAGGGCTATTGGATGAAAAAATTTATACCTTTTCCCATTTCTTGAGGTTGCGGTTGTCGGTGAGAACCGTAGTTGGAAATGATTCAAGCAACTGTACAGTTCTTCGAGTTAGAGTTTCGCTGTTTGCCGCAGTATGATGATCAGCCTCTCTTGCCAAACATTATCAGTTTGCTTTTAGTACACAAGTACATATGGCAAAAGTAATAACCACTGCAGCGCGCCTACGGGCGCAAAGCTCGCTACGGCGATTATGTATTGACCAATTCAAATAATATTTGCGTTATCGACTCACCCGCCACAATTGTTTGCGGCAGTTGGTCATTTATGTGACCGTCTAATGGCTGCGAGGAGCATATTATATTGGAGAAGGAAATGATCTGTTTAATATTAGCTGGCATGGCTGCTCGTCGCCGAACCGCTTGCGCGGTTCGCTCCTCGCAGCCAATGCAATTTGAAGTTTGAACACTTCGAGTCCATACGAGTCACTTAGAGGGCGCCAAACATGGCTAAACTTACCCACGCAAGAGCTTTGGTGGCTCGTAGGGTAAAACCCGCTACTCACGTAGCGAGCATCTATCTCCAAATTACGCCTTTCGATTGCCTTTCGATTCATTTTGTCAGGGATGAGATACTAGAGGTCCGTTCAGCGATCGAACGATAAATATCTAAAACCTACGAGTTGGATGGAAAGGCAAGATAGTCTAAATCTCTAGTCAGTCGCCTCCATGGCAAAAGAACTGTGTGTAGAAGTAAGAGTGCCTCAGCGACCTACTCGTAGGAAAAAGAGCCCGGCTTTTGAACAGAATGACAACAGAGGGATTCGAACCCTCGCCCTTTCGGACCAGATGAGAACATAGGAAGTCCTGATTCTGGCGCCTTAGACCACTCGGCCATGTTGCCATGCAGACTGACCTTTCTCAAGAGAGTAAGAGGTGGAGACGGCATACAAATTCAATGCTCAAAACTGACTGGGCTTGGCTTGGGTAGAACTTCCAAGAACATAGTGAGGATCAATAATATTATTGGCACGTCAATTATACGTCCAAGGTTGTTTTTCTACGCCTTCTTGCCCGTTTCCTGTTGCCACTGCGAAATAGCCTCATTAATCTTCGTTTTCACCACTTCTTCTCCTACACTTTGCCCAAATGCTTCAACAAACTTGCCATGAGGGTCCATTAGGTAAACAAATATTGAGTGGTCAACGAGGTAGTCGCCGTTCGGATCGGCGTTGGGTGGTGTTGAGAAGTACACTCGGTAGGCTTTGCATACAGCTTTGGTAGCATCGTACGAACCAAAGAGGCCTGTAAAGGATGGATGGAAGTCTTGCAGGTATCGCGAGATGCGAGATTGCGAATCTCGAACGGGATCGACGGTGATGAACAGGGGTTGAAAAATCTTACCATGTTCTTTTTCTGTGTCTGAAGTCAGTGCGACATGGACGCGAACTGAAGCGAGGGGATACGTGCCTATTGAGTCTAGCACGGAGGTCACTTTGTCTAGCTCCGCTGGACAGATATCGGGGCAATTCGTGAATCCGAAATAGACCAATGACCATTTCCCAAGAAGATCCTCGTCAGTGAAAGGCTTGCCAGTGTCGGTCGTGAGGGAGAAGGGCCCGCCTATCTGTGGCCGACCATACTGTTTGTTCATTCGTTCTTTTTCTATTCGGAGTGAGAAGAATGTGGATGAAAAGGTCAAGTCCGCTCACCCCGTTCCTCCAGTAACCTGGTCTTTTCATATCGAAAGTAGAAAAACAGACCAACGCCTGCTGCTACAAAAATTGCAGCGGATGTGGGTGTAAACACCTAATATCTCATTCGGGTTCACCACGCAATCCGTAAAAATCATCGGAACTCACCCCAACGCTATTCCGCTCCGGAAATGATGAATAGTATCTGTGCGACCTTTTGAACGCGACTCCCTGTGCAACTCCCGCGTTTCTAGAATTGGTTTGTCGACGACAAATATTTGCGGAGCCATGCAGTGACCTCCACGGTTGTGTGCTTAAATTTCGCAAAGGTCGGAACGTCAAGGCACGGGAGTGAAGGGAGGTTGAGAACATTTCCTGTCACGTTCAACACGACGCGTCACGCTCTTCTCCTTGAACCACATCCACGCGCCGCCAACTGGTGTACTACTCGCCTTCTTTGCTTCATCTTTAAGGAATTCTTTCTCTGGATCCAAAAATGTTTTGTTGCGCGACGGAACTGCGCCTTTTTGCAGAAGACCCCTGGTTCCTGCTTACTACTTAGTCGTGCTCACCGCAAAGCCAAAGGAGGTAGTCCTTCTCAGGGCCTTCTCATTTCCAACGTCCATCAGCAATTTGTTTAGGTGAAAGTGGGATTTTTTGTCTGCCCCTCACACTCGCATCAGCAGGATGGCCCCGAGTAAACCATGTCATACTGGAGTCTCTGCCTCGACTCGGAGCTCAGGCGTGGTCTATTTTTAAGAGCCTAAAACTCAATCCTCGTTTCCAAGGCGATGAAAAATGGCGATGTTTACTGGTTCATTTGCGAACGGCGCGAGTTGAGAACTTTCAGAAGGTCTTCGGAAGGAGCAAGTTCAGGACCTGGCGATAAAGGAGAAGAAGACGAAAAGGGAATAATACTACAAAGGGCTGGTCCACGACTAACGTACCTCGAGGGACGCGACTGCATCAGTAGATTTTTTGGGTTCTGGAGTTACATGACCCTGCCTGTGCCACAAACTACCTAATGGTAGCGCGATTATCAACCTCCGATACGGATTTGCACCCACATCTAGCGTATCAGCTGGCTGTCGGCCGTCGCAGCGCCTGTGCCGAGTTTTGTCATGATGCTCTCTCGTGATGGCGGTAAAGTGTGGGGTTCCATCATCATTTTTTTTCTGACAAGTGCGAGACAGTGTTATGATTGGTCTTTTTTCTCGAAGTTGTCTGTGCCTGCTCATGTCATTTCCATTCCCAGATATTCCTGTATACGAACGAATGGAGTGACCATGGTCGGCTTGCGTTCGAAAGGATGTTACCCCCTCAACTGGGCTCTCGCTTCTCTGGACGGACAAGAAGCCTCTCGGCCAAACGTCGGAGACAGAAACTAAATCCGAGCGATATTGATCCAACTTTGACTGTGCACTCATTCATTCCGGACGCCGAGGCGCACAAGTACGATGTACGGAATCATTACGACTTGATTATATCTCAGGAACTTTGATCCTTCTACCCTTCCTCTACCCTCATAATACTATTTTGGATGCTTCTCTTAAAAATGACATATATTTACCTCCGACCCCAGCAGCGCCATCAGCAGAAATGCCGGCTTCGACTCTGTTCTCCAGCCTGATTCTGGTTTCTGGGCTCCTATCACCCTCACTTGCCGCTCTTTACACCAATCCTTCGCAATTGCCACGTCTTACGTATGACTACATAATTGTTGGAGGTGCGCTCTATCTTTGCAATCGTGCTTTTTGTGTGCTGACAGCAGGGTGTGCTGTAGCTGGGACCGCCGGAAATGTTCTCGCCAATCGGCTGACGGAAAATCCCAAGACTCAAGTTTTGGTCTTGGAGGCCGGCGTAAGGTAGTACACCGAAAAAATATCAACCGTTGGACTTATCTAATATAAGAGCTTCAGTGATCAAGGCGTGCTCGCAGCCATCGTACCATTCTTAGGACCTACGCTCACGCCTGGTACCATACTTTCCTAACTTATCCGATGTATGGTCCTCACTCGCAGCCGTGAACCAGGTACTCAATACGATTGGAATTACACGGTCACCCCACAAACCGGTTTGAATGGACGCACTTTCCCTTTCCCTCGTGGAAGGATGTTAGGCGGGTGTAGCTCCGTTAGTATGTATTTTTTTGAGAGTCTTAAGACCATCAAATGCTCAGTTATCTATCTACAGATTACATGGTCCATCAATACGGATCATCTGCGGATTTCGACAAGATCGCCCATTTGACGGGCGAACCTGGTTGGGCTTGGAATAATATCAAGCAGAATATCTACAAGGTACATACTTTCTGCAGACTGATCCAGCGTTATCTAAACGAAATCTCTTAGCACGAGAAAGTCGTTCCGCCTGCCGATGGGCACAACACCGCTGGCCAATACATTCCCGCAAACCACGGTACCAACGGCATCTTGCCCGTCAGTCTCCCAGGGGCCTCGCAAGCCATTGACGCACGCGTCATTGCTACCACTCAAGAACTGGCCAGCGAGTTTCCATACTCCAAAGATCAGGGAGGCGGCGACGTGCTGGGAATCGGGTGGGTGCAGTCGTCGATTGGCGGTGGGAAACGGAGCAGCTCGTCTTCGACGTATCTCGCTGATGCGATCAAGAGGCCGAACCTGAGCGTCCTGATCAATGCGCAGGTGACGAAGCTGGCTAAAACTGGGACAGTTGACGGGAAGCCCTCTTTTCGTGCTGTCCACTTTTCATGCGACCAAAACAGTGAGCATATATCACACTTTTCGACTATCCTATTGAAAGCGACCGTTAGCGAACCCAACCGTCGTTCATGCCAAAAAGGAGACCATACTCGCCGCCGGAGCCTTTGGCACCCCCCAGATTCTACAACTCTCTGGGATTGGTGACAAAGCTGATCTAACCGCCCTAAATATTAAAACGATTGTTAACAATCCATCTGTCGGGAAGAACCTTTCCGACCACGTTCTCATGCCCAACATTTTCAATGTAGCTGGGACGGCCAGTTTGGACGGGCTCATGAGGGATACTACCCTGTTCTCTGTTGCTCTTAACCTGTGGAACACAACCAAGACGGGTACCCTCGCCAATGGCATTGTCAGCAACTTGGGATTCTTGAGACTTCCCAAGAACGCGTCGATCTTCGCTACTGTCCCTGATCCCTCTTCGGGGCCTACGGCGTCTCACTGGGAATTGATAGTAGCAGTATGTCGTCGTTCTTTCAATCCCATCCTGAGGCACAACTCACAATTCATCTCTCAGAACTTCTTCCTATACCCTGGGGTAGCAACACCATCCACAGGCAGCTTCATGACCCTAATCTCAGCGTTGATCTCTCCAACCTCTCGTAAGTTCCCTGTCTGATCTTCGTCCTCCCCACTCACCCCTCTCCCAGGCGGATCGGTCACCCTCGCCTCCTCAAACCCCTTCACCAAGCCTCTGATCAACCCCAACTTCCTAACCACCGCCTTTGACATATACGCCATCCGTGAAGCCGTCAAAGCCAGTAAACGATTCGCAAGTGCATATGCATGGGCCGGGTACGTCCTCAGCCCGTACGGTGGTCTTTCCGCAACGAGTGATGCGGATATCGACGCGTTCGTGAGGGAGACGGCGTCGACGATGTTCCATCCTGTTGGGACGGCGAGTATGACTGCTAAGGATGCCAAGTGGGGCGTGGTTGATCCTGATTTGAGGGTGAAGGGTGTGGAGGGTGTGAGGGTTGTTGATGCTTCTGTTTTCGTGCGTCGCCTTTTTCTTTTCTTAGGACTTGCATTGACGTTGTGATAGCCTTTTGTTCCTAATGCTCATACGCAAGGACCGACTTATCTGTTGGCGGAGAAGGCTGCAGAGCTCATAATTAGTTCTTGTCAATGATGAACGCAGTGGCGATTTGGATCGGGGGAGATGCTTATACCATGTAGCTCAGGCTAATATACCACCATCTAATGCATGCGTCTCACCCGCGCCATTTCGTGTACATAAACGGGTACCAGCCATACTACGCTTTATTTTGATACGGGCAAGATTTTCGGAACGTTGAAGGTGTGTTCAGCGTTCATGACTCTATGAATAAAAAGTGCGCTAGACGTCTCGTAGTCATCACAGCGTGCTGCGTAGGCAAAGGACGAAAGCAAACGACTCCGAACGAGCTTGGTCGATATTCATTGCCGTCAGATAGAGATTGACATGTCGTCTTACTGGTCACACTTTAAAAACTTCCAAACCATGATACGATTCTAAACCCTAATATAAAAAATCATGTCTACTTTTGTCTACTTGCTCACTTAAAGACGAGAGACGGCAGTAGTCGAGGGAGAGGAAGCGGGGGCGTCAACGTAGTGAGACTTCCTCTGCAAAACGAGGTAGTCAGCAACAGGTCATGACACGCAGTGGGAAGAAAACTCACCAAGGACTTGTGAGAGTACGAAGGGTAGTCATCCTCCTCCGCCAACTTAGCCAACTTGGCCTTGCGCGCTTTCCTGGCGGCTTTACGGGCAGCATTGCGCTCAGCCTTGGTCCTGTAGTGATGGTGCTTGTGGAGGGGCTTCTCGCTGGTCGAGGGAAGCGACGACTCCACGGTCTTGTCAGCAGAAGTCTTGGATGCCTCGGTCTTGGACACCTTCAGGCTCTTCGCATCCGTGACCTTGTCAGTCTTCGCCTTCTTCTCCGCTGCCTTCTTGGCCTTCTTGTCGGTGATGGACTTCTTGAGTTTAGCCAGAGGAGAGAGCTTCTTGGGCTTTGCCGTCGACGTTGAGTTGGTCGCGGCCTTCAAGCTCTTCTCCGATGACTTCTTAGCCTTCGCCGCCGCCTTCTTGGCTGCGATGGACTTCTTGAGTTTCGCTAGGGGCGAGAGCTTCTTGGAATGCTTCTTCTTGCGCAGAGCGGCGAGCTTGGCCTTGCGGAGGGCCTTCGCCTTTCGGCGGGCAGCTTTCTTCTTGGCAAGAGCGGCTTTCTTGGCAGCCTTCTTCTTCTTGCGAAGAGCCTTAGCGCGGGCTTTCTTCTCCTTCTTGGTCAAGGGTTTCGATGACTGCGAGGGGGTGACGGAAGTGGAGGTGCTGTTGGCAGTGGTGGACTTCGTAGCGGCCAAATCGACTTTAGAGCCGGTGGTCAAAGACCCTGACAATGGCTTCTGGGCGGGAGAGGCAACAGTGGTGGAGTTCTGAACCGAAGGTTAGTTAGATTGCAAAATAGAGTGGACGCAGCGAAGACTAACCGAAGGTGCCTTGACAGTAGAGTCAACGGCACGGGCCTCAATGTCCTCCTCAAAGTCACGAGCCTCGACCTCAAAGTCCGCATAATCACGGGCCTCAAAGTCATCATTGAAATCGCGAACTTCGAAGTCAGCATCATAATCCCGAGCTTCAAGATCAAACTCGACATCACGAGCATCGAGATCGGTAACATCGGCACCCTGGAAGATTTTTATCAGAATACCGTTGCCGCACAGTAAAGGATATAGCACTGACCATGGGGAGCGAGAAGACACGGCTACCACCGGAAGCGAGGACGGCAAGGAAAACAAAAGTGGAGGTGAGCTGCATGATGATTGTAAGTTAGATTGAGGGTTGTGAGTGTAGACTAGGTTTAGAGAGTCAGCGCTAAGGTGGACATCGATAAGCAAGAAAGACTGACGTCGTTGGGGGTGTCGTGAAGGAAGGTAGTGAGAGATAGGACCAGCCTAAGTTCTGACAACGCGCGGAGTCAGTCCAGAACGACGGCGGGCATCGCGCAACTAGCGCTTACCTTTGAGTTGGTTGGGGAGAGGCACCAGGCGCTGCTAAAGTTCACAAAGTTGGATTGCCCTCTTTTAAAGCTTCTCCATCCAGTCAGGGTGTGGGAGTTGGTTGCGAAACGGGAATGATCTATCAATCTAAGGCTCAAGGGATGATGTGACACACCCAGGCTGTGTACTGCTGTGCCACCAAAATCAACAAAAAATCAACGGTTATGGTGTGTGCAGTATGTAAGTAATGTGCATCGGATGGTCCAAAACCTAACTCGAAGTGCATAACCGTAAGTGTCCTTCGCGGAAAGATGAAAGTCGTTTTTTCTCCAACGACGGTCCCATGCGGTATGCGGTGAGAACTTTGCCGGCCTTGATGCACTGCGTTCGTTCCGAACTTCCAGCACTCTTATCAGGTCTCCGGATCTTTGGACGCGTGATTGATGTTCATGACGACGCAGCTATTTTTGATGCGAAAGAGGTACTTATTACCCTCGCACTCTATGCTGACCAGAACTAGTTTATCCTGTGGCGCGTTGGGGTGCTGAGTGGATCTCTTCATATCTCACTAGGCCTGGTTACGCAAAAAAGTTATTATCCTGGGCAATATTTAGCAAGGAGTTTAGAATTGTCACTTATATATGTCCAATACCGGAGCCCTTCGAAGTTCTGTGGAATCTGAATCAGTATATGCGTAGCAAGGAAGACAACCAAAAAGCTCTAGCTTATCGTACGACAAGATGGTTGCACGGCGATGAATCAGAGACCTTCAGAGACTGACCTGGAGGCTGGAGAACAGTTGCGGTCCATATGGAAGATTCCCGCTACATATCGGCCCAACAGCGATCAATTCAGTAGATTATAAAGCAGGCTGAATAGGGGAACTTCGGGGAAGTTCCCCTAATCTACGACTCCACGGTGCAACATTCGAGGACTCAACCTCAAACCTCGACATTCAACGTCCATCAGTAAACGCTGACCACTTTTCCAGCTTGTTACCAGCTGGAGGAAAAAATCTCAAGCATCACGCACTATGTCTTTCCTCCTTCAACGCCGCTCCAAAGCAGCCGCACCTACCCCTGACCCCCCTGTGAGACAGCAAGTTCCAGATCGCGGGGTAATCCAAGCTTCGGTTTTGGTCGTTCCTCCCGATGGTTTGGTATGCAAAACGGGGATGGAGTATGAGGAGTTCGATGTTAAAAGCCTTTCCCGTATGTAATTTTGTTGTTTCACTGGGCTTCTATCGCCGCAATACCACCAAGCTCACGATAGCTACAGAAATGTATTTGGGTCACGAAAAAATATCTGGGGTGGTTCAAGTGGCGCAGTGCAATTCTGGAGCGATCATCATTGCCGACATAGTTTCCGTGCCAATGAAAGATGTTGAACAAGTTAGACCAGAGACCTGGTACCTGCCATTGAGGCATGCATGGAAATATCCCGTCATTTGTGGTGATGCTCGGTTGCTTGCTCGCTCGAAGGTCGAGGTTGATCAGCACCATACTAATAGCGCCATGCAGCCTGACAAAGATTACAAAGGTTTCGGTTTGAGACAGCTATTGGAGGGCCACCGCGTTTTCCTGGTTGTCCATTGGTTGATAGGCCCTTACAGTGAAGAGATGAGAATCGCGCTGAATATACATGCAAATATATCCTATTATAAATCAGATATTTGCTAGATATGGTACAGTCATCCACCTGCTAATGATACACCCAAAATGAGAAATTAGCTTCAACAGATTTGAGCACAACCTTTCTCTACAAAAACTACATGAAAATCCCAGATAAATTCCCTTCTATCACTGTTCCAAATTTCAGAATGTTTGACCCACATTTCACAAAGAAAAATTAAGATTATGGGTGTATCATTGAGGGGTGTGACTGTATTTGGCTATTTCTGAAAAACAGTCCATTTTGTATGCTCCACAGCTTTGCTAATTCTGCCTCAATTGCATCCAAATTATGTACAGTGGTAGATATGAGTTTGTACTATGTGTTACAACTTGTTTTGTAAAAATCGGTCTAGTATTGAGAAAGATATTGCTAGTCAAAAGTGTATCAAATGAGGGTGGCGTATCATTAAGGGGTGGATGACTGTATATGTATACAGTAGATATTCTCACAATGCATATACTCGTAATGCATAAATCTCATAATGCATGACATTTTTAGGGGACCAACTTGGTACGCAGGGATTTATGCATGGAACGTCATATCGAATAATGCATATCATATTTTGGCATTATGCATTACCAGATCTACAGATTTACTGGGTATTTACCTGTTCACCTCATTGTACCTGAGTTTTTCAGGACCAAAGTCTACCCTGATATACCCTGTGTGCCACGAATACACTGCTTCAGAGTAGTATCCAATTTTGCCAACACTTTTCTATCATTCTATGCCAGCTGCTGAGGAGAAGAAGCGGAAACCTCGAGACAGGCACAAGCCCTATGCACCTCGCGGAGGGAATGGAGCTGTGTGAGTGTTTGGTGTGTCATCCACTCAGAGGCTCGCGGCATGTCAACACTGCTTTTGCAACAATAATTGCGCAAATTGAGGGCTCATCTTCATGTTGTTCAAGTGAAATCAGCCCGACAAACTACTCTCAACTCTTTTTTCAGTAGTAACCTCTCTCCCATGGATGTCGATAGCCTGTAAATACCAGTTTTCGTCTCGCTACATAAAGGACATTTCGAAGTGTGACATTTTTTGGCTGAGGTCACAAATAGTCACATTTTGTGACATATTTCATCTTGCATAAATCTCACAATGCATAGAAAAAGTCGGGGACCGGCATTATGGGATCAATCTAACCAGAAACCCCCTTTTTGCGTGGAACCCTGGGTTTCTTCTGCATTTGGTAGAAATCCCCCTTCCATCAATCGATGGGTTATTTTGAGGAACCCCATGTCGGAGTTGAATTCCTAGATGCCGACGCGTGTCGCGCTCAAATTTAAATTGATCTTGGCTCCCCTGGTCATGATGAGAAGACAGCGCGACGAGTTGAGGCTGTTGAGCTCCATCACGCACATCCCTTGTTGCACACGTATCATCGCGCGATGCGACGCGCCTGCTCGACAAGTGGTTACCACGGTAAATAATATTGGTTCATGGTCTACACGATGCTATAGTACAAGATGAGGGTTTGGTACTTACATAGATGTAGGAGAGCAGGAGTGGTTTACTAGGGATGTCACTGCTCCCTTCCATAGTCCCTTGCTACTTGAAAGGTTGCTGACCCCTGCCGCCAACTTGAACTTATGCATGACGCTGTGCCCATGCATGCGCATGTGGTGGACTTCAAATATTCTGATCTCCGCTTCTTGTGGAAACAAGGTTTCTACGCAAGCACTTCAGAAACCCTGGGTTGTTCAGGGGAAACCAGGGTTTCTGGATAGTTTAATCCGGCATATTATGCATTGTGAGAATATCTACTGTACCAGGGATAATTCTATACAGGAACCCCCTTCAAGCGTTCACGCGTGAACCCCATTGGACGTACTGGCATCGTGATGTCCGAAACGCAATGGTCGACGACGACGATCTCTTGATCTCCCCAAACGATGTCAAAAAATCCGTTTACAACTCTAACAGTTTCGTCCCATACCATCTTGTAGTTTCGCTACATGCATTTTTTTCACTGTAAATCAGCGACCAGTGCGAGGAATGATATCGCAGACTTACGTCGGAGAAAGCAGGTGCAGCTACTTTCGGTATCTCTTCCATTCCTCTCCTTCCGAAGTGAGAATACTTGGGCCGAATATCTTGAGCGGTTCGTAATCTTCGAGAGGTTTGGGAAAGCGTGCACGGGACGTAGTTACTTCCTGGGCACTCCTTTTCAGCATTTGCATGACTCGTAAATTTGAGGACTTCGGAACCTTAATGGCTGCGGCATCCGCGAGAATGAGAGAAGTCTTCACACTTGGCCATAGGGATGTCTGATAGTATGCATCAGCGACGGGGAGAGAAAACAGCCTTGCCTTTTTTCCGTTGAGCATTCAGTAGACCATTGAACTTTTCTACAGACCTGATGTCGTTCAAGTCGACGGTACTACTGCCCTATGACCAATTCTGCTTCTCGCAACTCCTCATCGACAGTATCAAGCTTGAGGAGGGTTTTACATTTTTCTTCGGCTCTTGACCGGCACCTCTTACCTCTCCCGAGTGCTCTCTCCCTCCCTCCTCCGCATCCTCGCCTCTTTCTACTCCACCTGCCTCACCATTGTCATCGCCGTGATTGCTCGCTTTTCCCATCAGGACCGACAACGACGACGTGCCACTGCAGTCTATGCCACCCATCCACCTTGACCCACCAAACCGACCCACGCATGCAAAGCGCCAGGGCCACGCCAATCGGAGGCGAAAAAGAGAAAGAGAGAAGGAGGCTGTAAAGTTAGAAAGCCGGGAACGAATTTGCCCATACAAGCCTCGCCCAGCTACGGTGAAGAAGCACGTCAAGTCCTCCAAACCACGCCTCACGAAGTACAACAACGACACGATTCCAATCGCGTCTTCGAGCTACCTAGCTCTTCCTGGGCCCAATTCGTCATCCAAGTTTCCCCTTGAGCAGCTGGTTGGGCCTCAGTTGCGGTTTAAGATGCAGAAGGTCGTTTGGGATGGCACGTAGGTTTCTCCACGTCAATATTCGATGGATTGCTCTTAATTGCTGCCCAATAGAATCTCCATGCCCATCGTTGATGAAGGTGGTCGATACATCGGGCTTTGTGCCAGCTCTGATGCCTCTGACTGGCCAGACGTGCATCAGTCTGCAGCCGCTGCTCTGGAGGAAGCTCGAGGACGGATGTCCTGGGGAAAAAAGGATAGGCGGCATCGGCGTGGGGCTTTCTTTGCATGTAACGTTGGTATCTCACATGGGGGTGGAAAGACTAAGCCCATGGTTTTGCATCACAATGCCCCCGATGACGCCATTCTCTCTGGGCTTCTGAAACACCCCTCGTTCATTCAAATGGCTGGACATGCGTCAGGTAGGCAACAGAGCACCCTTTCATGACGTGATACTCACCTCTCTGGCCAGGAATTTTTGCCACATGGGCACCTAGGCTCCACTCCTACTATGCCGACCACCTACAGAAACTCCTGGACAATGATGAGACCCTCACCCGTATTGTAAACACGATGCAGCTGTATATACCATTTAGCACGTACATATTGCAATGGCCTTTTCCTTGAATCCATGACAATGAACTTAATGGGTGAATGGCTCGAACGTATACAATAAAACGGATTAAACTATCCAGAAACCCTGGTTTCCCCTGAACAACCCAGGGTTTCTGAAGTGCTTGCGTAGAAACCTTGTTTCCACAAGAAGCGGAGATCAGAATATTTGAAGTCCACCACATGCGCATGCATGGGCACAGCGTCATGCATAAGTTCAAGTTGGCGGCAGGGGTCAGCAACCTTTCAAGTAGCAAGGGACTATGGAAGGGAGCAGTGACATCCCTAGTAAACCACTCCTGCTCTCCTACATCTATGTAAGTACCAAACCCTCATCTTGTACTATAGCATCGTGTAGACCATGAACCAATATTATTTACCGTGGTAACCACTTGTCGAGCAGGCGCGTCGCATCGCGCGATGATACGTGTGCAACAAGGGATGTGCGTGATGGAGCTCAACAGCCTCAACTCGTCGCGCTGTCTTCTCATCATGACCAGGGGAGCCAAGATCAATTTAAATTTGAGCGCGACACGCGTCGGCATCTAGGAATTCAACTCCGACATGGGGTTCCTCAAAATAACCCATCGATTGATGGAAGGGGGATTTCTACCAAATGCAGAAGAAACCCAGGGTTCCACGCAAAAAGGGGGTTTCTGGTTAGATTGATCCCAATAAAACTCAGAGTACTGAGAGACCAGCTACTTAATTTTCCTTGAATCCATGCAGATGAACTTAATGGGTGAATGGCTCATATGTATACAATAGAACTGAGAGCACTGAGAGACTAGCTACTTAAGAATACTCACGCAGATCACACGAGAACCTCAAGTCAATGCTTCAACATCCTTCTTCCTACCAAATGGACGATATATAAAATTCTATGGTCACCTCCTCTATCCTTTAGATATTTAAAGACTACCATTGACATAAAGTAGATTAATTGTCCTGTTCTACACGTTCCAGTGTGATAGCATTAAGTTATTGCGAAATTACTTGAGATCTCAAAAAATGATCCTTCCGAATCTGACGGGGATATCTGTGACTGATTCTGCAACAGTCGTGGCCCTTGCAGGGGACCCTTCAGACCAGATAATATATATCTTGTTTGATGAGACGAGCCCACATAGGTGATCATGGGTAAGGCAGCTCATCCCAACCACAAAGATTCAGGAGGTGGACCGCTGCGAGGTCGAGTGCTGCGAGGTCGAGTGCTGCGAGGTAGACCGTCAGGAGGTCGAGTGCTGCGAGATCGAGGTGGACCGCCAGGAGGTAGATTGCTGCGAGATTGAGCTGGACCGCCTAGTCGTGGATTGCTAGAAGGTGGACTGCTGCGATTTCGAGTGCTGCGAGGTGGACTGCCAGGAGGTCGAGTGCTGCGAGGTGGGCTGTCAGGAGGTCGAGTGCTGCGAGATCGAGGTGGACCGCCAGGAGGTAGATTGCTGCGAGATTGAGCTGGACCGCCTAGTTGTGGATTGCCAGATAGACCGCCAGGAGGTAGATTGCCAGGAGGTCGACTGCTGCAAGGTCGAGTGCTGCGAGATTGAGGTGGACCGCCGGGAGGTAGATTGCTAGGAGGTCGACTGCTGCTACGTCGAGTGCTGCGAGATTGAGGTGGACCGCCGGGAGGTAGATTGCTAGGTGTACTGCTGTGAGGTCGAGTGCTGCGAGGTGGTCCGTCAGGAGGTCGAGTGCTGCGAGATCGAGGTGGACCGCCTAGTTCTGGATTGCCAGATAGACCACCGGGAGGTAGATTGCCAGGAGGTGAACCGCTGCGAGGTCGAGTGTTGCGAGGTGGACCGCCGGGAGGTAGATTGCGAGGAGGTGGACCACCAGGAGGAGGAAGTGGATTGCCAACGTTGCGATTGTTGTCATGAGTAGTTGTAGCAGCTGATATAGCAGTTCTAGTGGGGACATTACGAAACCAGGCACAGAATGTGATCCAGATAAGGCATATGCGAATAAGATTGAAGCCAGACCAAACTGCCCCCACAATGAAGATGGCCAATCTGCAACCTTGATCCAGGCAGGTAGCGCCATGGGATTTGCTGGTAATTTGAAGCAGGCCTTTGACCGCAAGGGGAATCAGAAATGCCAGTGATCTATTTATTGATGATCAAATATCTACCAGCAAAAATTTGGGTAAGTACTCACAGGATGGTCTGCTCTTTAACAAATGCATAAGCGCGTTCCACCCAGAATCGACGCCAACAAGAAGCATTATACGCCTGTAATTTTTTTCAGAGAAGCAGAAAAGAGTGGTGCTGTAATTACTCACATCCAGCCATCGTACGGCGCAACCCCATGTCTCGAGCCCACCCTGGCCGATGAGACCAAACGAGCAGAAGAAAACGAAACCGCCTATAAGAGTGCTAATGGCAGATGAAGCCATGAAGAAGGCCAAAGTCTGTATCAACATCGAAGCCTTGATGAGATTGCCCGAGACCGCCACAATTGTGCAACTAGCGTCAAACATATCCAGCTGAGTATTACCAAAGGGAGCTGGGTGAACGTACGATAGTAATATACCAGCAATCATCACACAGATCACAAGGTGGCTCTGTGTCGTCGAAGTGAAAACCGCCCAAGCGGGTTCGTTGATGACGAGAGTACTATGTGTGTCGTTGACACCACCTGCAGGAAGCCGGAGCAACATATGTCGCAGGTTCTTGAACTCTTCCCCAACGCCGAAAATGAAAGTGGCGATCTGCCATAGCACGCCGATTACAGTTGCCAGATGCTTGAAGAAGCCCATAAATCAGCGTTGAACGTTGATGGGTAGATGAGAAGTTGAACCAATCTTCGCTTGTCAGCCCCTTGAGTTGAACAACACGTGACCGTGCCAATGACTCATCATCCAAAAATGCAACGACATCGCTAAGGAGTCTCGCTCCGGCCAGAGTTCACGATCATAACAGAAGAAATAACACACCCAGATTTGAACGCGAAGCCGTTTTAGCCAAGATGATTCAAACTTTGCTGCAACCACGGAGTGGTAATGGAATGACAGCCCAAATGTGGGAAGACCGGCTATGGTATTTGGAATCCATGTCTCTTCACGAAGCAGAATAAAACGTAGGTACGAGGTTGATTGTGATATAAAACGGGAATGGTATAAATACATGCGCGGTATCTAACAAGTGTCTAGATTTGAGGGGGACTATGTACCTAGATATGTAGAGCAAACGAAAGCAGATACTTGGGTTGAAAGCACGTAGCCATTGCCCAAAAACAATCCATCCATCCATCCATAAATCAATTATCCAAACCTCACTCCTCCTTCAAGTTCGTCCTTATCTTCTCACTCCTCTTGATACCCACCGTATACCCAACAGTACCCGCCATAACCATCACAGCGCCGCTCCACAACATCCTCCCATCCACATCTCCATACTTCCCCCCCATCCCAACCCCACTTCCCTCCAAACCACTAAAACGAGCGATAACACTCCAAAGCACCGCCCCTTTAACACTCAACACCAAACTCGCCGCTTTCCTCACAACAAGGACAAGGGTCACAGTAAGTGCACTTACGCGCGTCGTGAGCATGTGGACGCCTGCGATGCAGAGGAGCTGGGTGAGGGTGTTGAGCAGGAGGGGGAGGTATGGGGTTGGTATGGAGATGTGAATTGAAGTTCCGAGGTTTAGGTTTATGAATGGGAAAGAGGTGATGGAAGAGGGAAGGGGGACAGAGAAGTGGGTACGCGGGCTGCGGTGGTTTATAGCGCTGATTTGTGATTTGAGGTCGGGGAGGAGGGGGAGAAAGAGGAAGAGGCCTAGGAAGTGCAGGTAGAACATGGATTCTTGCCATGATGCTGGGAGAGCTTGTTGTGAAGGGGATGCGGAACCGTTGGTACTGCTAGTCGATGAGGTTGTTGGACGGCCATATTTTGTGTATGTCCAATCTTGTAGGATCCCGAGGAACCCGGAGAAGATGAGGGCGACGGTTAGGATTAATATTCCTGTAGCGTATATGTATGGGTTAGTTTCAGCTGATGATGATGATGATGATGATGGGGAAGCAGAAGTGGAGCGGGACGCGGAGAGTGTCGTTAAGACTACTCCGAGTGTAACCATTAACACAGATAGGATCTGGGTGAACGAATACCTGGGCCCAGGGATATCAGCTAGCAAGAAAGAAAAAAGGCGGAAGAGATTGGACGCACCTCTTGTTCGAGACCAGCCATCCAAGAAGCATGCTAATCACCAATCCCCCACTTCTAAAGATGATATGGACAGGCATGGGGATCTGATACGCGAACGCCGCGTTATTCAACAACGAGATCAAGTAGAACAGGGCTACTTGTCCCAGATACGGTGTCAGTGGGATTCTGCGCGGCTTGAAACGTGGACCGTAGCGTGTCCATGTTAGATGGGTGGGCAAGCCGTGTAGAGAGATGAGGAAGAATTGGAGAAAGGTGATGAGGGAGCCGGAGTTTGGGTATTGGGATGTTACGTGCTCGAGGGTTACGGCGTTGGAGCAGCACCCACCGAAGATGAGCGAGAGTGTTGAGAACCACATGGTGGAGGCTCGAGTCCGAATTAGGAGGGCCAAATCTCAAGCTCAAGCACGGCTTAAGTATGGCCCCCCTCTACTTGCCAGTTACTACGTGTATTTCCTTGCATGCTGGACAACAGGATCTGATAGTTTTACTCAAAACTTGACTACTCTGTCCTCCATGCGTGTCGAACGCTCACTTCCTTTTTTGGGTCACCAGTCACTCGGAGACCAGTCAGTTCAATCACGTGCACGGTGCAACCTTCCCCAAAGTTCAAGCCCTCCCGGCCGTCATTGTAATAAGTGTTCTGTCCCCAAATCGTAGGAGCCTCCACATGGTGGTTGGGAAAAAAAGGTATATAGCGACGCCAGCAGGATTTGAACCTGCGCCCTCGAAGAGGAACAGATGATCACGTGCACAGCCTCTTCCTGATTCTAATCTGTCGCCGTAACCACTTGGCTATAGCGCCTTGCAATTCTAAAGACATGTTAGAGCTATGGATTGGTTATGGAAGGTTACCAGTTAGTGTTGATTCAATATTTAATTACAATCAATCAATCAATCACGCTCCACGTGCATCAATCAAAGAATGTGACAAACGCGTCCTTTCCTTCGCTCCACCACCTCACACAATGAGCCACGACGTCAACGACCACCGGCCACGTACCTCTGGGCGACGAGACATACCCCGTCAAAGATCTAACGAACGAACACAACCCTACCTTCTGTCGCGAATCACTCGAAACTTGAACTCCCTCGCACTGAACTCTTTTGGCTCGTTGTTCTCTGGGCCTTCTCCTTTTAGATATCAAGTCGAAACCGAAAACGAAAACGAACGTGCTGCTGCTGCATACACCCGGGATCTTTACCCACCAGAAAGGAACGTGACTCTAGGGTTTTGTGATAACCTCAGGAAGAACGGTGACGACCAGGTTTGGCAAGACAACAATGACGCAAGTTCTGATCAAGGCTTCTCTCGCTCGAGTATGCTGAAAGACTTGACTCCCACTCCAACGCGCGCCACTACCCCAAATTACAATTTGAATGCAGCACAAACACGTTTCCCTGAGGTTAAGCGGCTCTTGAATAGATTTGCTGGCTCGGCGACTCCAACGGCTTCTATCACTGTCTCCGGCGACCCACTGGCTTCGTTTTATGGTTTGGACGCGCATTATCAAGGAAAAGAACGAGATTTGACCCACGCTGAGTTTCTCGAGCCTACGATGACAACAATGACTTTTGCTGCTGCTGCTGATCCTGCTTACTCTGCCAACGCCCACGCTACCTCGGACCTCGAAACGCCACCCCTCACCCCGGACTCTCTCAACGAACACACATTCTTATCTTCTGCGTCTTCGAACGATTCTGACAACGAACTCTCCGTCGAAATTCTGCTATACCCCACCGAAGAAGATAACGAAGACACTGGCGGCCTCTATCCTCCTCAATATACTCAAGAAATCAAGGAAGGCAAGAAACCTGAACGTGACATCGTGCGTCCCCTTGCCTTATCATTCACCTCTCCGCCCTCAAACAACTCTGGTAGTGCTACGAAACGTTGATTCAAGATATACCCTCAGCAGAAGACCCACTCTCCAACCAAGACCTCAACACGCCCATGGAGGATAAAGACGAATGGTACGGTCTGGAATACACTCTCGAGCTCAGCTCGCGCGAACGCCATCCCTCCGACACGCAGTCCTTTTCTGCCGGAGAACATTCCAAGGTTGCATTTCTCCATTCTCCGTTCTCTCCCACCCGTTTTTCTCACATACCCCTTTTATTCATTGTAGAGCCGCGAATCATGGGCTCTAATCCACCGCGGCACGATCCACCCCTTCTTCGAAGACGAGGACTACCACCAGTGGAAGAACTGGCATCGCTATCTTGACCGACAGGACGAGCGGAGGAAACATAAGAAGGGTTTTGAGTTTAAGACGAGGGCGAAGGATCTTGCGTGGTTCTTTGCTGATGAAATGAGGACGAGGGATGTTATGTATTGGCAAAAGGTGCGCTCGTCTTCAAATTCAGGGCTGGCCCCCTGTTTTGTTTGTGTATGCGGGGATGCTGATGTACGCCTTGGATGTATGTAGGAGGTGTATAACGCTGTTGGGAGAGAGGTGAAAGATCGGCTTAATTACCTTGCTGCTCATCGTCCTGTACGTTTCCCACTTTCTTCCCTCAACCCTGCATCTTACATACTTTCGATTGTAAAAGGACCCGTACTACCCACGAAAGAAACACGACCTTGGATGGTACCTCAAGCATTCTCGGTCGGTCGCGTGTCTTCGTGAGCTCATGCCCATTCCGGTACCTGAGGCCTGAGAGCCCTGTGGAACTGGAGGGATACTTTTGATACTTAGAACTTAGATGTCAACGACGACTCGTTGCTCAGGCGAATAACCCACTGTACAATTTTTGATCGGGCACTTGTAACATGCATAACGGAATCGGAGCAATAACGCGCATATATTGTATTTTTAAAAATAACGGTTGTGGCTACAGACTTGAAGTCTTTGAACATTTCCACTGAATACCAGTGGGTCAAACTCTCAGTGAATCAGCGTTGTGCCGGTTGCGCAACTGTTCTGAAGGTCGCCGACTGTCACTGACTGTGACATTTCGCAACCAAACATGACCGCGACTTTGCGGGGTGCCAGGGGTGTCCTCATATATTATGTAATGTAATTTTAGGTGTAGACACTTCTGAGATTTCGAGGTGGATTTGACTTTCTCACGATCTACAGTTGACTGTGAGTCTGTGACCTAAGGTCGGTGACGCAGAACAACTGTCACAGGTAGCACGCAAAATGGATTGTGGTAGATACGGAACATGACATAGAGGAATCTAGAACAGTGGTAGATACAGAATATGATGTAGGAATAACTGTGCAGCGTTAGAAGACCACGCAGTGCGATATAGCACACGCCCAGAGGTAGGACCCCATGGCACCGCGCAAAGTTGCGAACGTTTGACCGTTGACGACCTTTGGTGACTCTCTCACGATTTACGGTCGGTGACTGTGACCTCAGGTCGCCGACCCGCACAACGCTGCAGTGAATGCCATCGTTTGAAGCAAGTGACGAGAACGAGGGTACTTGATGTCTAGAGTCCCAGTCGCCAGAGCAGTAGAGACAAGATATTGAAGTTATTTTACAGAATACTCGGCGCAATTAGGCAGCGCGCAGCAGCCATGACTCGTCGAAGTACGTTAACTTGAAGTCAGAAAAGTGAGCAAGTAATGTTCTCACGTGACCTGACGCGAGAAGCACATTTGGAAAACAACGACAAATTGAGAGGTCCAGAATAAGAAGAGACGAGCAAGAGGTGGGAGCTACTGATAAAATTCCGCTACGAGCTGGGAGTGGAATCAGATTCAGGAGATGGACAAAATCTAACGCTTCTTCTAAGAGACAGATGGGCAAATTATAAGTTTAAACCAGGGGGTAGCAATGAGTATAAGCAATGCCATCTGTATGGAAGAGTCGAGTTAGTTGAAATTAATGAGGGATGTTGCGTACTGATGATGTTACTGTCGCAGCAAAGGACATGTTGAGGGCTTTTGAAGACGCGTTAGAGTTCCAGAAGCCAATCGTAGTAGAGCGGTCGACTTACCAAGAAAATTCATCAGTAATGGAAATGCAGTTGACGAACCCTCAACGCCGATACGGAAGGTAAACCGGCAGCACACGAGATTTCCGACTAGGCACGGAGTGAGACCTCCATCGCCCGAGGTAGGAGTGGCAACGGCAGCGAGAGCGCAAGCAGACTCAGTGACGATGAGAGCGAATTTAAAGAACATAGCGAGGGTGAAGTGCGAGTGAGGGTGAATTGTGTGAGGATCGAACGACTGTGAAAATGCAGGTGGCACTGGTCGGATACTAAGCTGAAGCAAGATCACTGAGGTTTTTATACATGATAGCTCTTTACATAAATTCTTAGCTAGCTACCTGCTTCTACGCATTCTATAGAAGCCTGAGCGTAGATACCAGGAACTGCTATGATGGGTCAGACTTTGGAATGTCGTTTGAAGCAAGTGATGTTAGTCGCTAGAGCAATGAGGTGACGATGAGTGCGATTTTAGAAAACATAGCGAGGGTGAAGAGCAAGTGAGGGTGATTTGTGTGAGGATCGAACAACTCTGAAAGCAGGTGGAGCTGGGATCAGGTGGAGCAAGATAATTAACTGACCGTTTCTTTAGGTTCTTAGCTAGGTACCTGCTTCTGCAACTTCACAGAGCAGACTGCAAACTCCGGCTTTCGCGGTTTCAGAAGGCAGAAGGTATCGATCGGCGCCTAGATCAAGATAAGTATAGAGTCATCACTGTTCGAATTTTGAGAAAGGTCGCTCATTGCGAGATTTGAGCATATCTCGTTCAAGTTGCCCCAATTTTCGACTGCGAATGCAATACGAATGGCCGCGTCAAAAAAAGGTCCCGCCGTTGTTTGTTTCTCTGAACCAAACACGTCCCCAGGTATCCGAGTCACAGCATTGTTTTGGCGACTGCCAGCGCCAACGATCCAGCAGGAGCTGCGCTGTCAGTAGAGGCTCGGCATGTCGGATTACACTGTTTTGGGGCGACCCTCTCCCAATGAAGTACCATTGTCAGAGTCACGGTATGTCATATCTCACAAATGTATGTACTTATCATATAGAATGTTGATAGAATGCATACAGCTCGAACAGGTGCCAAAGGGTTCCGAGTCGTCTACGAGAGTCGTGCCAGATGGAAGGTCGGGAAGGCAAACATACGACGATGATGTCATTAGTACCCGGCTGCTGAAGAAAAAAGTCGACCCTAGCAAGACCCTAGTGTTGCTGAACAATCCCGACAACCCCGGGCCCTGGTGTGCAACTCTACGACATCACCAGACCGTGCTCGTCCGTTGGCTTGAGTATCGAGTGTATGGTGACGTACCTTCATTCCTAGAATCCTACATTAATTGTCATTCGTCCAGGTCATATACGACTTTCGTGGTGACATGGTCAGTGTCACGTATCATATTGTGGGATGATAGACAACATTTTCAGCGAAGTCGGCCATTTTTAGATGCTCAGCGGACACCCTGCAACTTGGGCGTCTTCTTGGCGGCTTGCCAGCGCTGAATGAACAGCCTCCGAGTGGACTCCCGACTTCCCACGTTCAAGGTGGATAAAGGGCAGATGAAAGGTATATACATCGCACTCGGCATTGGAAACTCTTTCCTTTCCTCCCGATGCCTTCAAGCCTACAATTGTTGCTTGCTGCCTCGATTGGTGTTCTGTACATTATACAGAAGGTTATAGCCTACCTGCGCGCGGTTAGCGTGATACGGTCAGTGCCTTGTATGACCCCATGACCCAGCGATGTAGTGATCATGATATTCCAAACTTGCATCTAGTAACTATCCAACCGCTTGTACACTTCTACTTCCCGGAGGCAAGGCGGCTTTCTTTCTACCAGCGATTCCAGGCATTTCCCCCGGAAATAATTACTATTTCACACAAAAACACGACGGTGACTCTAACTCTAAAGCTCCCTGATGCCATATTGATCAAAAGTCGTTTAACTCAAACCAGTCTTTCAATATTTTAAATCAGATGTTTACTACTATGTCAGTTACCTGAACCCTTGGGGCTTTTTTTCTCCCCGTGGCTGATGCATACTATCAGATATCCCTATGGCCAAATGTGAAGATTGGGCTCATTCTCGCGGATCCCGCAGCCATCAAGGTTCAGTCCTCAGCTTTGCGAATCAGGCAAATTTTTGAAAAGAATCGCCCAGGAAGTAACTTCGGCCCGTACACGCTTTCCTTAGCCTCTCGAAGATTACGAGCCGCTCAAAATATTCGGCCCAAGTATCCTCACTTCGGAAGGAGAACAATGGAAGAGGTACCGAAAAATAGTTGCACCTGCTTTCTCCGACGTAAGTCTGCGATATTCTTCCCCGCGCTGGTCGCTGATTTACAGTGGAAAATAAAATTGTCTGTAGCGAAACTACAAGATGGTGTGGGACGAAACTGTTAGAATCGTAAACGGCTGTTTCGACACCTGGGGAGATCGAAAGGTCGTCGTCGTCGACCATTGCCTTGCGGACGTTACGTTGCCAGTACGTTCCCTGATGAAAACTGTGCACAAGCAAAGCTAACGCCTACCGTGCATTGCTTCCGTATTAATCCGTAAAGATCTCCCTTGGCATCATCAGCGCTGCGGGTGAGTTATACTGTGTAACTTGGAAGACATCATGATCTAAATCATTCCTTGAGGTTTCGGTAAAAGACTTGAATGGGATGATGACTTAGCCCCAATTCCTGAGGGACATAAGATATCATTCAAAGAATCCATCGACATCGTCAGTTCGAAATTTGTCAACAGAGCCGCGTTTGCGGATTGGTGTCTCAACCTCACAGAGGATGGGCGCAAAATCAAGCTCGCGTACGATGAATTGGCTGTAGGTCTGCACATCTCTATTTAACGATGACTGAAGATTGTACCCGAAGGCTTACATGTCTGAGATGGTCAAAGAACGTCTTTCCATGGGCAAGAGAGAGCATAGCGACCTGTTTAGCAATCTTCTTGCCTCGAGTTTCAGCCACGAGTTTGGAGCTACGGCATTGACTGAAGCTGAGATAATTGGTGCGTGATTTTCTGCCGTCGGATTCGCGGGACTGAGACTTTCTAGGAAATATCTTTGTATTCTTACTTGCTGGTCATGAGGTTCGTGTCAGTCCCCTCGATAGCGGCTAGCCAGATCTCTTAATTTTTAGTATTCTCCAGACTACAGCCCACACTTTGTGTTTCACTTTTGCACTTCTCGCGCTCTACCCAGACGAGCAGGAAGTACTTTTTCAACACATCAAATCCGTATTAAGCGACGGCCGGACGCCGGTATGCTATTATTCATCAAAGTAGTTGAACTTGATTACTTATTCAATGACCACAGGAACATAAGGATATACCGCTTCTAACACAGTCAATGGCGTACGTTCGAAGTTGAGGTGGATCATCGCTTCACTCACTGACTTGGAATTTGTAGCGTATTATTTGAAACATTGCGTTTATACCCAGTTGTGAGCGATAAAGTCTGGGTTGTTTATTGATGCTGAAGCTAACATTCTCCGGCTGAACAAGGCTACTTTTATCCTGAAAGAAAGCGCAGAGGATACCACGTTGAACGCGAGTAACATCCGCGGTGAAAAGGCCACCATCCATGTTCCCAAAGGAACACTACTTCAAATAAGCCCTGCGGGAGTCCATTATAATCGTATACTTTACTTTTGAGTATTTTTCTACGAGCGAACTGATTGATTTTTAGCGCGGTACTGGGAAGACCCCCATGCGTTCAAACCGTCACGCTTCCTAAATCCCGATTGGCCACGCGATGCATTCATTCCGTTTAGCGCCGGTAAGCATTCATCGTTATGCACTCCGTACCATCGGCTAGAATAAAACGCAGGTCCTCGCGCGTGCATCGGACGGAAGTTTGTTATTCCCCGTTTCCATTAATTAACATCCATGGCCTGACGGATTTGCGTCGTAGATTCTTTGAAACGGAGGGCATAGCCATTCTCACAATGATTGTAGCAAAATACAAGATCACCGTGAAAGAGGAACCCCAATTTGCTGGCGAGACATTTGAGCAAAGGAAGGAGAGAATAATGAAAGCGTACGCAGCTATAACGTTGACGCAAGTTCAAATAATCTCACTCGCCCTCCCAATGCTGATCGAGACGCTATAGGCCAATCCGTGTCCCTCTCGTCTTCAGTCGGAGACATTGATTTTTCTACTTGGTTGTACCAGATTAGCAAATCCTTTCAATTGTATTCAATTGCAGGGATTGGCACCACTCAGCACCGCAGAATTCTATACTGGGAATGCAGGACAATCCCTCTAATATTTTGTATCTCCGACGGAGATGGAACTCCCTCTCGCCGCCACTTTCGCCAACAAAAATGGCGGGCATACGTCCACCGTCAAATGTGCACCTAAAAAAACTCCCAAGCTCAAACAACATGCAAATTTATCGACAAATAAGTTTCCCTTCTCGTCATCGTTAATCCCCCCCCGTAAAGTTACTTGTGCAGCGGACTCAAATTTGGGTTCCGATTTCCTGTTTGTACCAAAGCTGTCCAAATTTACTGGCCCAAAACAGTGTCAGGACCTACATACTTTGGACCACGTTTTGGCATGCTTCCGTCGAAATATGTCTGAACTTTCACCCGCCTTTCGTTACTAGTCCCAAAGCCTTGTCCATTTGGCACCTGGCTAAGCACTTAGATTTTCAAATTTCTGTCTAGAATAGCATCCAATGGGACTTTTAGGAGTCCCGCTATTTCTCGCCACACTAAGCTCGTGTACTCTATTAGCCCAAGATTGAAAGAGCTCGTCGTCGACTCGTCCTGGACGTTCCCACGTTCTTCCCTCACCGCATCCCAAACCGCATCTTACGTGAGACCTGACGAAAGAAATATGACCTTGGATCCAGTTGCGGCTGAGTTGCGTGTCTCCGTGAGCTCATACTCATTCTTAGCCGACTTTCGCGGTCACGAGGTCGGCTATTTTTAGGTTCTCACCTTGTTCTCACCTGTTCTTTTCTGCAACCTGCCTTCCCAGCGCTGTGGCAGCCTGAATGAACAGACACTTGAAAGGGAATGTGCTCCTGAATCATCTTCCCACGTTCAAGAGTGGACGAAAGGCAGATAGTTCCCAAACCCTTCAATCCTTTCCCAATGCCTTCAGGCCTACAATTGTTGCTTGTTGTCTCTATTGGTGTTTTGCTTATTATACAGAAGGTAATAAGCTACCTGCGCGCGGCTAGCGCGATACGGTCAGTGCATCAATGTGGCCCCACGAGCGACACACTGACCATGATATGGCAGTAACCATCCAGGTTCTTGTACACTATTAGCTCCCGGAGGGAAGGCAGCTTTCTTTCTACCAGCGATTCCAGGCATTTCCCCCGGGCATGATTACCATATGGTACAAAAACATGATGGTGACTCTAACTCTAAAGTCCCCTGACGCCACATTGATCAAAACGTCGTTTTACCAGTTTTTCAACATTTCAAGTGGGATGTTTATTCCTATGTCAGCTACCTGAACCCCTGGGTTGTTTTCTCTCCCCGTCGCTGATGCATACTATCAGACATCCCTATGGCCAAGTGTGAAGACTTCTCTCATTCTCGCGGATGCCGCAGCCATTAAGGTTCCGAAGTCCTCAACTTTACGAGTCATGCAAATGCTGAAAAGGAGTGCCCAGGAAGTAACTACGTCCCGTGCACGCTTTCCCAAACCTCTCGAAGATTACGAGCCGCTCAAGATATTCGGCCCAAGTATTCTCACTTCGGAAGGAGAGGAATGGAAGAGATACCGAAAAGTAGCTGCACCTGCTTTCTCCGACGTAGGTCTGCGATATCATTCCTCGCGCTGGTCGCTGATATACAGTGAAAAAAACTGCATGTAGCGAAACTACAAGATGGTATGGGACGAAACTGTTAGAGTTGTAAACGGATTTTTTGACACAGCCTGGGGAGATCAAGAGATCGTCGTCGTCGACCATTGCGTTTCGGACATCACGTTGCCAGTACGTTCCCCGATGAAGACTGCACGCAAGCAAAGCTAACGCCTACCATGCATTGCTTCCCCATTAATCTCGCAAAGATATCCCTTTGCATCATCTGTGCCGCTGGTGAGCTCTATTGTGACGCTTGAAGGACATTATTTAAATCATTCATTGAGGTTTCGGTAAAAGACTTGAATGGAATGATGACTTAACCCCAATTCCCCAGGGACATAAGATGTCATTCAAAGAATCCATTGAGATTGTCTGTTCGAAATTTGGTCACCGAGCCACGTTTGCGGATTGGTGGCTTAACCTCACAGAGGATGGGTGTAGGATCAAGCTTGCGTTCGATGAATTGGAAGTAGGTCTGCACATCTCTATTTAACGATGACTGAAGGTTGTACCCGGAAGGTTTACATGTTTGAGATGATCAAAGAACGTCTTTCCATGGGCAAAAGGGAGCATAGCGACCTGTTTAGCAATCTTCTTGCCTCCAGTTTCAACGATGAGTTTGGGGCTACAGCACTAACTGAAGCTGAGCTAATTGGTGCGTGATTTTCTGCTGTCGGACTCGCAGGACTGAGGCTTTCTAGGAAATATCTTTGTATTCTTATTTGCTGGTCATGAGGTTCGTGTCAGCCCCCTCGATAGCCAGATCTCTTACTCTTAGTATTCCCCAGACTACAGCCCACACTTTGTGTTTCACTTTTGCACTTCTCGCTCTCTACCCTGACGAGCAGGAAATACTTTTTCAACACATCAAATCCGTGTTAAGTGACGGCCGGACGCCGGTAGACTATTATTCATTCAAAGAAGTTGAACAAGATATTTACTTATTCAATGACCACAGGAACATAAGGATATGCCGTTTCTGACGCAGTCAATGGCGTACGTTCAAATTTGAGGTGGATCATCACTTCGCTCGCTAACTTGGGATTTAAAGCGTATTGTATGAAACATTGCGTTTATACCCAGTTGTGAGCAATAAAGTCTGGGTTGTTAAACGACGCCGATGCTATCATTCTCCGCCTGAACAAGGCTACTTTTCTTTTGAAACAAAGCGCAGAGGATACCACATTGAACGCGAGTAACAGCCGTGGTGAAAAGACCACCATTCCTGTCCCCAAAGGAACACAACTCCAAATAAGTGCCCCCGGAGTTCATTATAATCGTATACTTTATTTCTGAGCATTTTCTTTACCAGCGGGCTGATTGGTTTTTAGCGCGGTACTGGGAAGACCCCCATGCGTTCAAACCGTCACGCTTCTTAAATCCCGATTGGCCACGCGACGCATTCATTCCGTTTAGCGCCGGTAAGCCTTCCTCGCCATATACTGTGTGCCATTGGCTAGAATAAAATGCAGGTCCTCGCGCGTGCATCGGACGGAAGTTTGTTATTCCCCGTTTCCATCAATTAACACTCCATGGCCTAACGGATTTGCGTCGTAGATTCTTTGAAACGGAGGGCATAGCCATTCTCACAATGCTTGTAACAAAATACAAGATTACCGTCAAAGAGGAGCCCCAATTTGCTGGCGAAACATTTGAGCAAAGGAAGGAGAGAATCATGAAAGCGATCGGAGCTATAACGTTGACGTAAGTTCATATAACCTAACTTGCCCTCCCGACTTTGCTGATCGAGATGCTATAGGCCAATCCGTGTCCCTCTCGTCTTCAGTCGGAGACATTGATTTTCCCTTGTGCGAGATCAGCAAATGTTTTCAATGCAGGGATTAGTACCACTAAGCACTGTAGAATTTCCGAGTCAATACACTGAGAATGCAGGGAAATCCCTCTCATATTTTGTATATTCAATGGAGATGGATATCCCTCATCGCCCGTTTGTCGTTCATTGGGTTTTGTGGAATTTGGGTGAAGTTCTGGACTTCGTCGAACTGTGTCTGAACTTTCACCCGGCCTTTTCGTTGCTAGCCTTGTCTTGTCCATTTGGCATCTGGCCCAAGCACTCAAATTTCCAAATTTTTGTCCAGAATAGAGACCAGCGTCCAAGGCGACGCTAGTACTAGCTCCTCTCCCGCTCTCCACAAGGGCTAGCTCAACAGCCCTAGCCCGACACCAAAAATTAAAAAATCCCCATATATTGTATTGTTCAAAACCAAGTAGCTAGTCTGTGCATGTGCATAGTATGGTAACGGGTAGTTCTACGTAGTGTGTGTATGTACTAAAACAAAGGGCATATGTAATAATGTTATGAATAAAGATAGTGCGATGCGGGTGTGGTGGTGAGGGTATAGTGTGTGGTATATGGTGTACAAATGCGGTATATGCGGTGGGTGGTGGTGGGTAGAATACAATGTGGTCCATTGGCCGAGTTCAAGGAAGTGGGGTTGTAGATGGGCAGCAGGGGCAACTTTTCCGGACGAAAAAAAAAGAGGCAAATGAGTGTGGAAATCAAGCACCAAAGGGGGCTGAAAGATGAAGAAGGGGCGGTGTGGTATAGGTGACGGGGGGCATTGAGGGTTGTCCGAGATCAAATTGACATCTAAGGTCAAGAAGGAAAGAAAGAAAAACAAAGGAAAAGAAAAAAGTTGTCCAAGTCGTTGGAAGTTTTGTCTCGTCAAATCAAGCCGACAAGTTCATCACACTTGAGGGCGGTCGTCCATGAGCAGCATGATGCGCGTAACCACCTGAAGAGGACGCAGACGGCTTGAGCGATCCAGCAGCAGCGCCCCACATCCGTGTAAAGAACCCACCACCAGCTGGACCCTGAGCAGGACCCCGCCCAGCACCTCGGCCCACACCACTCGCTCTCAAGCTCTGCGGTGGGGGTTGGAGCAGTGTCCCTGCACGAACTCTTGCCGTACCCCTCCTCGGTTTGTAGTTCGAGCTATTGCCGTTGGGCGTACAGACCGCGCTGCTGGAGGAGGAGGAGATGATGGGCATAGTCACGCTAGACCCCATCCCTGACCCCTTGGGAGAGTCTGTTTGAGAGATGGTAGTTACGGAGAGGGAGACGGCAATGGTTACCGAGGAGGAAGATGATGAAGAGGACTCTCGCTTTCCGCTTCCACGACGCGGGGAATCGACGACAGTGTGGATGGACGATGTGTCGCTAGAGTTGCGTGCGCGTTGGGTAGCATGGGCTTTGATGACGTGCAGGGGGAGTGCTGTTCCTGGCAGCCTCAGCGGCTTCTTGACCCCGCCCACTCCGGGTTTAGAAGCGACTGATAGTTTTTCGTGAAGCTCGAGGTGCGAGGACGAAGCCGCGACGACGTGGACCTGTTGTTGATCCTCAGTCTCATCGTCAGACTCATTGCTAGTCCATCCCTCAGAGCTAGAAGACGAGGACCCAGTGTCTTCGATCAGAGAAGCAACATCTGACGAGGACGAGGAGCTGGAAGATGCTGTAGACGTCGTCGAAAGGCTGTTGTACATTGGCTGTGGCACGCGGGAGTACGAGGCAGAGAGGTGGGCCGTCGACAGACGTTTTGCGATTCCTCGCACGGCGGTGGTTAGTATCCCGCCGCCGCCACTGCCGCTTCCTGATGGGGTCGGCGTGGAGTAGGCGTTCAACCGTTCTCTTCTCTCCTCGCCTGCGACCGGGGGCGGCGTTAGCGGCAGCTGTACTCTTTTCTGGCTGTTTGAAGCTGCCAGATTCCCACCTTTTGGTGCTGGAGTTGCGAGTTGCGCTTGTGCTCTGGCCTTGCCAGCTTTGGACACCCTGTCGACCGCCGACGCTCTTGCGCTACTACTGCTGTATTCACCTGGGGACGGTGCGACCATGAACGGAGCAAAGAGAGCGCAGACCTCGGGCTCAAAGAAGCGGAGATCGTAGTCTAAGAGATAAAGAAGCTGCTTCTCCATGAGATTGACCTCGTTGACATCAAAGAGAACAGCATATTTCGCCCAATGCGAGTTCTTGGGAGAGGAGTCGTTGAGGTACTTGGCTGTCACAATTAGCGTGGCGAGGAAGACGCGGTGGCGTGTGCATGGCATGCCTGTAAAAGGAGTTTAGCAATGAAAAGAAAGGGGTAGAACAAGCTAACCTTTCGCTAAGGAAGGGAGTCTCGTACGCAATCGGTCGAGATAGACAAGCGTGGTAAGGAGCGTGGTGACTTGGACATTAGAGCACTTAACGAGATGAAGAATGAAGTTTTCAAGAGAAATGAGAGTCGATACAGGAGGGTTCGAAGGGGTAGTGGATTCTGCGTCTTGATCAGCGAAAGTCACCTTGAGTGGAGTTCGCGGCGGCGTGGGGGGAACACTCTGCGAAGTTGGTGACGGCGAGAGTGGAGGACGGCCATCTTGCTCGTCGTCAATTCGGATGACTTTTGCAGCTTGGCGGGCAATGTAGGTGATCATGTCAATCGAGACACGCCTCCCAACGAGGTGGATGAGCAGGGGGTTGTGAGCGGAGCAGGGGAGCAGCGAAGCGGGATGCCTCCTGTTCGCGTATGAGTCTGCCATAGGGCGGGAAGGATCGGGGGAGTAGAATGGATGAGATTATCGTATTACCCCGTCAAGGGATGTTATGGGAGAAAGAAAGAAAGAAAGGTAACATGATATCCACTCTTACTGCTTTTCTACGATCGGTGAAACCCCTTTCACCGATCACAGTCGCGTACGAGTTCTTGGAAGAAATGGCACGTCCGCTATTGAAATCCGTCGAGCACATCATCGCTAGTGTCATGTTCATCGTAGTAGTCGTTGACCTGTTTGTCGGGGACATGAACTGGGAGTCTTGACTTGATCAATTTAAAGTTTTAAACGTTGAATTGTATCTGCACGTGACCGCGTTCCATCTTCCGACTCGTCCCAGCCTGTTCCAGCATCCTCCACAACTCTTCTTCTGAGGCCAGTTCCCTGTGTCTTTTTTTGGCTATTGCCTCCATCTTTCTGTGACCAGGATTAGTGAGATATGAAAATATACACTCAGCTGAGACCCCGACGCGTTCAACGGCCTGCAGAATGAACTAAAAATATAACTCCGGGAGGACCGACAAAATTCTATATCATTGCGCATGTGTTAGTATGCGTTCTGATTTTGAGAGATCTCCAAGTTTCAGGCATTCCAGTGCAAAGTCAGGAGTCGGGTAGTAGGTGCGATAAATATAGATCATCATCAACGCTTTCTTTTCTTTCTGTCAACACCGTGACCGAAGTAATCACCAAAAACCAAATACTTGAGTATCAACGTTCTTAACGCTCCAAGCTTCAGCGCTCAGCTTCAAGATCTACATTTCTCGTCATTTGAGTTCGATGGCATTTACTGTTAGGGAACTCTTTGGGTTACCTTTGAAAGCTGTTCAAGGTTCAGGCGTGCACTGCCCAATGGCTGCACAACACCGCGTTGGATCGCAGGCGCGAGTCTTTCTGCGAGATTGCAATGACGCTCATCCACGCTGTGTTCAGGGTCAAAACCGCTTCTTAGGCAATTCGGGTATTAAGCTGATCTTTACCCTTCCACCACATTGTACATAAACCTCAAAGGAACTGCGAATCTGTTGTCTTTATCGCCCATCACCAATCCAACATGATCTCCTCCCTTGTGTTCCTCTCGTTTTTTGGTGTTATATTGGGATTCGTGGAGGGTTCAAACTTGCCATTCACTCCTCACAAGGTATGTCTTTGTTCATACTTGGAAATAGCCGCATCGACTCATCGCTAATTTGCCTCAAGGCTGTTGCTGTGATGAAAGGCCCATCTAACGTCACTGGGACAATAACGTTCACCACGACGGCGCACCATTCTCTTACAATCGTTGGGAATCTAACGGGTCTTGATCCTTCTGCCCAGAGGGGCCTACACGTTCAGTAAGCAACCTGCTCTCCAAATTGTAATGGGGGCACACACGATATTCACATTCTTATCTGCAATAGCGAATTCGGTGACGCCACTGACGGATGCGCATCCGCGGGCCTCCACTTCAACCCTTTCAACAAAACACATGGAGCTCCCACTGACCCAGTTCATCACCTCGGTGATCTGGGTAACATAGCTTCAGACGCTAATGGTGTTTCCCAATTCACAATCCTAGCAAGAGGGTTATCTCTCAAGGGACCACTTACTATACTCGGGTACGTCGTCTTTTTGACTCACCGTCTACTCTTTGTTCACCCGAATACCAGCCGAACAATCGTACTCCATGCTGTGTGTACAACTCGGCTTTATCAATGTCATACATATACTAATCGATTAACCGTCAACAGGGTACTGACGACCTTGGCAAGGGAGGTTTCAATGACTCCCTCACCGTTGGACACTCAGGCGCACGTTCAGCTTGTGGAATCATCGGTAAGGTTCTTCTTCGTACATTGTCCTATGCTTACTTTGTCATGGCGTCATAGGTTTGTCTGGCTAACTAGCCCTTCTGAGACGAACATCATTCTTACGACATTGAACGACCACATTGGACATATACTTTATTCAAGAACTCTACGAAGTCTTTAATTAGTCACAAAATGCTGCCTACGAGTACATAGCTCGAACTATTGGCATGTCTTATTGAGACATTCTGAATAATACTAATATCGCTACCTTTCTTCGAATTGAACACTGCACTTGTCCCTCTATCCTTCGCCATTAAAGATTTATCTCACGCATCAGAAAGGTTTGCTTTCCGCCGCCTGGTTGAGTGATGCCAGGAGCGATGCAAGTTGGAAGCGACCCTAGCTGTCGCTGACGACACTAAGGATCATCGTCAGAATGCTTGCCAGCCGCTTCTAGCAGGAATGCGACACCTTGGCGCAGAACGACACAGCTTGAAAAGGTAGGTCATGTCAAGATACGCACGTGCTTCATTGTGTGCAATCACTTCGTCCGTACAAGGGGTTGGAATGGAGATGCTGACAAGGGTAAAGAAGTCGAAGTTGGAAAGTGGGATGAGGAAGAGCTCGTCAGTGGCTGAAAATAGTTGAGCTATCAATCGATGTCAAATGGGAGTTCTCTCCTCTGGACCGAGCTCGGTTGCTGATGTTCCTAGGTATCACGTTGACAGAAGCCATTCACCGTCGAGGATTCAGAGAAAGCCTCTCCAACCGATGACAAACCTCCGTGATGTTCTGCACCATTTCAGGATCCAATACCTCGAGACCCGGTTGTTCAAAACTCACATCCTCTAGACTCGGGAACAGCGCCAAGAAGAGTGGAACGGCATCCAGCACCTCTCTATCAGCGTGGAAGCTCACTTGATCGGTTGTATACACGCTGAGCTTGGTGACACGGCGAAGCGCAGAGATGCTACTTCGATTAGTCCCTATAAACGGTGATACATGTTGTAGCATCCATTGCGCGACTGCAAATTCAGCTACAAATCTGAGACCAAGGTGAATGTTATCGGTCGAATGCATAGTGTAATGGGCAATGACAGAGAGCGCCGCGTTGAAGTCGTCGTAATCCATGGCGACTTCAGGACGGTAATCCGATATAACGGTGACTGACGACAGGCGTTGGAATCGGGGAAATGGTGATTTGGCATTCAGGAGCCAGTAAGTGAACACTGGTTGTGCTTCGAGTTTAACCAATTGAGGGAGGAGTGGTCCAAAGAAAAAACGAGGATAGGAGAGAGGTAGCGGGACATATATCGCCGTGAGATGGAGACGTCTGATTGAGAGGTGGCGCAAAAGGAAAAGTATCAGGACCGTGAAGTCGACTGGGACCCAATAATTCACCTCTTCGTGGCAGGTCAGTTCAAATTCATAGAGGGACAGTAAGGTGGTGGACGATAGGATATCCTTCCAGATGGCTGCATGGTCCTTGCAGCTAGATTTGAATGAAAGAGTGGTGATAGACGCGGTGTTGGTTTGAAAAATAGACCGAATCCAAGGAATGAAAGGACGTTGGAGGATTACCTGTGAATGGATACGGAATTCGCTGAGTTTTTGGCAACCATAGCTTATCGAGCTAGATTGAGGAGGTGGGCTAGGGCTCCAGCTTGGGAAAATGGAGAGCACTCCTAAACCTCGTCGTTGATGTTGGGAAGAGTTCAAAGTGCTACCAAGTGACTCTTGAACAACTGGTGCGGTCCAGCGGGTGGCGTTTTGAAGCGAAGCTGGAAGAGGATCGCTGTGACTGGCCCTGTGTACTCGTAATGTTGTGCAACCATTCTCCAGAATGGTGTTCAAAAGACCCAAAAGATTCTCCATCCATCTCTGTGCATCTCTGCTGCGTGAGTTGTTCAGAAAAAGGGAAGCAAGCCAAACTTCATATCCCCCAAAGTGGAGATCGAAAACTGTGACTTGTGGCAAACGGGTCACAAAATGGGTCATGGCTAGAAAGTTGGGATGTAGGTCTTCAAAGTTAGAGTTGGGGCAAAAGACGATGCTTTCAACGTCTTGTACGAAAAGTGCGGTGGCGAGCGCACGAAGCACATGCTTCGAACTGTTATGAAGGGAAATATGTCCGGTATTGAAGCTTTTGATGCCATGTCGTTCGAGGAGGATGGGGAGGGCACGGTAGTGGAGGTCTGTGCACGTCAGACCGAGTTGTAAAGCTGACTCGTCGTCCAGAGCGTCAACGATCTTGTAAAGCAGCTCATTTGGGATTCTGCATAGCCCGAGGGGGTTTGAAGCTTCCATTAGTATACAGTCGAAGTCGTAAGAGTGTTTTCTTCTTCAGGGTATCATTGGGTATCGTTTAGAAATAGTGGTAGACAACTGTGCCGCAGCCTCAGGGAGGGCTACCGCTTGACCCAAGATATGCAGAGGGTCTTTCCTGAGTGCGTGGCAGCGCAGCGTATAAGTATGATCGGGCCAACGACTCGAATCACTGTTGATCCTTAAGACTCGCTCGAGATGGAGTACCTCTCTGTTCGCAGTGACAGACGAGGATATGTCGAGATTGGACTGGTAAGTGGTGGCGCAAGGAAAGGGTTCAAGATGGGTCCAACAAACTGGAGCGGCAGTGCCAGCGTCTGCTGTGCCTGGTTTGCACGATGCACAAGGTTACATAGCTCCCTGTATGTATCATGGACGCAGGTGAATACTGAGATTTGAGACAAGTCAAGCACCTTTCAATGAAAAAGATTGCAGGGAGCGGGGAGTTGGAGAAAGCGGGCCGTCGTCCCACGATCGCTTCAACCCCCGATTCTACTCCAACATCATCATGACGGTCCCTCAAACTTTCCGACGATAAGCTGGCCATTTACTATTTGTCTGGCTGAAGGTTAGACGCTGTAGTACGGTCACAGTATCCAGAGCGGCACTTCCCAACTTGTAGACAATTCGCCATCGATGGCGGAACCCGACAATTCAAACGCAGGTGTATTGGACATCGTGCGTGCTTTCGTTGATCAGCTCGGATGGAAATGAACTGATTGGGCTACGTCTTCAGGTCATTGATATTGGGTCTAGCAATTGCAAGCTTGGCTGTACGTTCTCTTGATTCAGCCAAAGAATTCGGTCTAACAGACCGCATCTCAGTCGCTGGTACTTTTCCGTGTCACTACGGACTTCGTCGATGACATACATAGATTGCAGGAGACGATGATCCTCAAGCTAATTTACAGTCAGTTTGGCTTTGGCGCACCGAAAGGACGACCTGACGCTTTCTGCAACAGCTCTGTCCTTTGCCAGTTGCAGCACTCGTCATACATCGGGTATGCACCATCTTTGAGCCCATAACACAAAAGACTTATCAATTCATTCCGCGTCAACTTTAGCCGTATGGCCAAAACCCAACAAGAAACCGTCACGCAGACGTACCCCATTGTGGATGGCATCGTCTCAAATTGGGATGCAATGGAAACTTTCTGGACTCACGCGTTCTATGATCAATTACGCGTATCACCAGAAGGGAAATCGGTGTTGGTCACCGACTCGCCTCTTAACTCCACACTCAATCGAGAAAAGATGGCCCAGATCATGTTTGAATCCTTCAGCGTTTCCGCATTCTACGTCGCCATGCAAGCTGTTCTCTCTCTCTATGCATCAGGCAGGACAACCGGTGTCGTGGTGGACTCTGGCGAAAGTTTCACTCATAGTGTTCCTGTTTACGAGGGAATTCCCCTTCGACACGCGATACAGCGGACCGGTATTGCTGGCCGACGTTTAACGGATTATACGTGGACAAACCTACTGGAACGTGGATATTTCGTTGGGCCCTCTGATCGACAATGCGTGGAGGCCGTTAAAGAAGAGTTGTGCTACATTGCCCTTGACTATGAACAGGAGTTGCAATGTGAAGCCGACCCAAATTATCTGACGGCAAAGACATATCAACTACCGGATGGTAAGTCGATCACGATGGGGAAGGACAGGTGAGTTCTCCATCCTTAGCTTCATCTTGCGCGTCAACTGATAATATAAAGTTTTCGCATACCGGAGCCACTATTCCAACCTTCCTTACTCGGACTGGACATATTTGGTGTCCACGACGCGACCTACAGCTCCATCCAAAAATGTGACATCGATGTCCAAAATGAGTTCTACAACAACATTGTCCTCTCAGGTGGAAACACTATGCTTTCTGGCTTCCGCGATCGCATGGTTAAGGAGCTTACGGCTCTCATTCCTGCTAGTATGGGGGTTCGTCTGCGTTTCGAATGCTTAAGTGACATATTGACCCGGCGCAGCTCTACATTGTAGCACCTCCTGAACGCAGGTTCTCAGCCTGGATTGGAGGGTCCATCATAGGCTCGATGGGCAGCTACCGCGATCGATGGTGTTCCAAGCAAGAGTACGAAGAATCAGGTTCTGGGATCATTCCTCGCAGTATGTAAAATTCCAGTCAGCATTGTTGGCATTTACCTGACATCGGGTGTAGAGTTTGCTTGAACGATGGCTGCCCTCGGGGAAGAGATTCTCGTTAGCGGCACATGTAAACGTTGGCAGATTCTAGTGTTGCGCATGCTGAGAGAACTGGAAAATGACTAGTAGGACATTTGGATGCATATTTCGCAATTGATAGGAGGTTTAGAATACACACGAGGATCATTCCGATGATCACAGAAATCGGTCTTCTTCTCGATGTAGGCCCAGTACTTACATTGAACATGCAATCATACATAAAGACACTTGAAACGTTCTGGTGCGGATGGGCAAAACATACACGAGCAGCCAATATTTGTGAAACAATAACCCTTGGTAAACATAGCACATCTACACACCAATGTGTCCCAATTCGTTATCGTATGAAGAAAGCTTCATCTCAACAGTTCTTTCACCATCCTCGTGCTTCATTTGGGATTTACAGCAATTGCCAACTGGGGACAGACCTCTGTGATGTTCTGCCTCATTTGAGGGTCCAACACCTCGAGGTCTGGTTGTTCGAAACTGACATCCTTTAGACACGGAAAGAGGGCCAAGAAGGGTGGAACTGCATTCAGTACCTCTCTGTCAGCGTGGAAGCTCACTCGGTCGGTTGTATACACGCTGAGCTTGGTGACACAGCGAAGCGCAGATACGCAAGGTTGAGTGGTCCCAGTAGTAGACGGCGACACATGTTCCAGCATCCATTGTGCCACTACGAATTCAGGCGCGAATCTCAAACCCAGGTGAATGTTATCAGCTGTCATGTTGTTATTGGCGAGAGCCAAGAGTGCTTCATTGACTTCGTATTCTGTATCAAGGAGTATAAGGCGGAAATCAGATACGACGGTCACTGATGACAGGTGTTGGAATCGGGGAAATGGTGCTTCGGCATTGAAGAGCCAGGAAATGAACAAGGGCTGTGCTGCGAGTTTGGTTAACTGAGGGAGGAGCGTCTGCAGAGAACATTGAGGATAGGAGAAGGGTGTCGGTGTGTATATGGCTGTCCAATGGAGGTATCTGATGGAGGAGTGGCGCAAAAGGAAGAGTATCTGGACCGTGAAGTCGACTGGCACCCAATATTTCACGTCCTCGTGGGAGGTCAGTTCAAATTCATACAGGGACGGTAAGGTGGTAGACGATAGGATATCTTTCCAGATCGTTACATCCTCCCTGCCACTAGATTTGAATGAAAGAGTGGTGATAGACGCGGTGTTGGCTTGAAAAATAGACTGGATCCAGGGAATGAATCGACGTTGAAGGATTACCTGTGAATGGATACGAAATTCGCTGAGTTTCTGGCGACCTTCCGCGGTATGACTTATTGAACTGGATTGAGCAGGTGGGCCAGGGCCCCAGCTTTGGGAAATGCCAGAAAGCACTCCTGAACCTCGCCATTGATGTTGGGAAGGGTTCAAAGTGCTGATAACTGACTCTTGAACAACTGGTGCGGTCCAGCGGGTGGTGGTTTGGAGCGAAGCCGGAAGAGGATCATCTCCGTGTAGTTGTAATGCTGTACAACCTTTCTCTAGAACGGTGTTCAAAAGACACGAAAGATTCTCCGCCCATCTCTGTGCTTCGTTCCCGCTTGAGTTGTACAGGAAAAGGGAAGATAGCCAAAGTTCATATAATCCGAAGTGGAGATTGAATACTGTGACTCGGGGCAAATGATCCACAAAACGGGTCATGGCTAGAATGTTGGAATCATGACGGGGGCCTTCAAAAGTTGGTTGGGGGCAAAAGACGATGCTGTCAACATCTTGTATGAAAAGTGCGGTGGCGAGCGCACGAAGCACATGCTTCGAACAGTTAAGAATAGAAATCTGTCCGGTATTGAAATTATTGATGCCATGGCGCTCGAAGAGGATGGGGAGGGCACGATAATGGAGGTCTGTGCACGTCAGACCGAGGTGAAAAGCTGACTCGTCGTCCAAAGCGTCAACGATCTTGTAAAGCAGTTCATTTGGGATTCTGCATAGCCCAGGGGGGGTTAAAGCTTTCATTATTAGTATACAGTCGAAGTCATAGGAGTGTTTTCTTCTTCAGAGGCGGCAGGGTATCGTTGGGTATTGTTTAGCGACGAATATGGGAGACTACCGTGCTGCAGCCTCATGGAGCGCTACTGCTTAACCCACGACATGCAGTGAGTCTTTCCTGAGGGCCTGCCAGTGAGCGCGTGGTAGCGCAGGGGTATGATCGGGGTCAATAACTCGATCCACGCTGTTGATCCTTTCGAGATCATGGGTGTCCCGAAATGCACGGGCCTCTGTCTTCGCAATGACGTCGAGATTGAACTGGTCAATATTCAGGCCATTCTAGCGATGACGGTCAAAGATGAATCCTTTCCACGGAACGGAGCTCATTCGACTCAGTCCATCACCTCAGTGACTTGGAAAACATAGCCTCACATCCACACACCAATGAAATCGTCATCATACCAAAAAGGCTTCACCTCAGCAGGTCTCTTGCCATCCTTGCGCTTCATTTGGAGTTTACAGCAAGCCTCTCCAACTGGGGACAGACCTCTGTGACGTTCTGCCTCATTTGAGGGTCCAACGCATCAAGGTCTGGCCGTTCGAAACTGACATCCTCCAGACACGGAAACAAGGCCAAGAAGGGTGGAACTGCATTCAGCACCTCTCTATCGGCGTGGAAGCTCACGCGGTCGGTTGTATACACGCTGAGTCTAGTGACGCAGCGAAGTGCGGATACGCTAGATTGAGTGGTCCCCGTAGACTGCGACACGTGTCGCAACATCCATTGTGCCACTGCGAATTCGGGGGCGAATCTCAAACCCAGGTGAATGTGATCAGCTGTCATGTTGTTGTTGGCAAGGACCAAGAGCGCTTCGTCGACGACATCGTATTTCGTATCAGAGAGTGTAGGGCGGAAATCAGATATGACTGTCACTGATGACAGATGTTGGAGTCGGGGAAATGGTGCTTCGGCATTCAGGAGCCAGGAAATGAACAAGGGCTGTGCTTCGAGATTAATCAACTGAGGGAGAAGCGTCTGCAAAGAATGTTGAGGATAGGAGAAGGGTGTCGGTGTGTATATGGCTGTGAGATGGAGGTATCTGATTGAGGAGTGGCGCGAAAGGAAGAGTGTCAGGACCGTGAAGTCCACTGGCAACCAATAATCCACATCGTCGTGGCAAGTCAGCTCAAATTCATAGAGGGATGGTAAGGTGGTTGACGAAAGAATATCATCCCAGAATATGGCACGCTGCGTGCGATTGGCTTTCAATGAAAGAACAGTGATAGTCGTCGCGTGAGCTTGGAGTGTAGATTGGGTCCAGAGAAAGAATGGGCGTTGAAGGAGCACTTGTGAGTGAATACGGAATTCGCTTAATTTCTGGCGGTCTTCCGCGGTATGGCTTGCCAAGTCGGGTTGAACGCCTGAGCGCCTAAAAACGCAGGGCGCCCGCGAAGATTCAATCAATTGGCGATTACCTGGCGAGGTCCATCTGCATGGAAATTCTGGAACAGAATCATTAGCACTGTGCATCCGGAATGTCGTGCAACCCTTCCTCAGGATGCCGTTCAAAAAGGCCGAGAGGTTCTTGATCCACGTCCGCGCGTCGCGGCCATATGGGCACAGAAAAACGGCAACGAACCACTTTTCGAACCCTGCAAAATAGAAATCGACTTGAGGAAAACGGGTCGCAAGAGGGGTCATGGCCAGAATGTAGGAATATTCATCTTCACTAATCATATTCGGCCAAAGGAAAATCTCATCGACATTCGGTATGAAAAGTGAGGTGGTGAGCGCCCGAAGTACATGCCCCGAACCCGTGTTATACAGAGATGTCCGTCCTGAATTAAAGTCCTTGGTGCCATTCCGTTCGAAGACGATGGGAAGGGCACGGTAGTGAAGGTCTGTGCACGTCAGACCGAGTTGGCAAGCTGAGTCGTCGTCCAGAGCATCAACAATCTGGAAAATTAGCTCGTCTGGGATCCTGCAAAGTCCAGGTGGGCTGCAGGTCTTCATTGTTGCTGAGTCGACTCAGGGTTTCGTTTTGGTTTCGTTTATGGATATGATGATTGTGGGCAGCACTAAGGAAACACACTACAGTTGCAGTACAGCGTAGGCTAGCCCACTTACCTACCCACGTGACGACATCGGACTAACGATCGGCCAGCATCCCGCTACGCCAGCCAGATATCAGGCTACTGTTGCGCTTGGAAACCGGGGCCGCCGTCGGGTTCCAGTTGTTGATTTCAGAGTTTGTACACTCTCCCCATTTTTGTTCCCCGTCACTTACGTACGAACCATTTCGCCGCAGCGGGAGACACCAAATACCCACCTATCCACTACCTTCAAATGCACAAAAACATTCACCGGGCGTCTGACCCCATATCCCTACTCCCTGAGCTTCTATATCCTCGATTTCATCAATGGTGACGGAATCCACGTCGATGATGCCGTGAATCTTGGAGTCTACGACATTGGTATGCATGGTACGGCCAAACCCCTCGAGATGAAGCCAATGGGAAGCAGGGCATCCCGCCGGTCGACCGTTGATCTATATGCCTTGAACCCAGGACGTGTTTGCAGGATCCAGCTGCGCGACTCTGGTGTGCATGTTCAAACAATCTCGTTCGCCCATGGCACTAAAATCACACCATGCCTCACCTGATATATGGTATGGTTCTCAATCTTCTGTTGGGATGACTCTAATCTGCGTAGGATGTATCACATTGACTAGGCTTGTCAAACCATCCTTTGATAAGCTTCTGGTCAAACAGGTCCACGACTCCCATACGAGTCGCTCCAGCAGTCCCATTGAGATCTTGCTTCCTCTCTGGCGGGTTCTAAAAGCTTCCAAGGGCAAAAACGATATTATCATTTCTGCTGTACATATTACGATAACTACTAGATAACCAGCCAGCAGCGAGTTGAGTCGCCATTCTAGCGCGATATATGGAGTGTGTAATAAACGAATGCGTGCGTGAGGATGTTGATGATAAGGTATATGTTATACAGAAAAATGATACATTCGATTTTTCTCTCTGCGAGTTGAAGTGCAGATTTTGGCTGGTGGTGGTGTCCTTTTGATAATTAGTGATACAAGGAATTCAAAAGCGTCAGATGAGAGCCTGGACGAAAACAAGGAGGGGTAATAGGTAGATAGTGACAGACAGGAAGGGCTGGTGAGTCGGATAAGTCGATGGTTATCTAGATGATGTCCCAGAGTTCTTCCAGCGCGCAGCAAAACTAAATGATACAGGCGTTCATGAGGGGTAGTCAAGGAGAAAGGGAAAAACGGACCTTGCCACACGCAACGCTAGCACTAAGCGGGTACTCGCTAATGCCGATCTTCTCATCGACATACGCGTCCGCAAAGTCGTCTTTACCGCGGGCCATCGCACCGACAAAGACGGCGATGTTGTGCGTCGTCGGGAGGGTTGGGAGGTATTTTGAGAGACGTTGTGTTGGGGCGTCACCTGAGAGGGCTGTGGGTGGTGTGGTGGTGTTTAGCAGAAAGGTGATGGAGTGGGGGAGAAGAACGTACTGATCTTGATGGTGTTGGGTGGGAGGTGGTCGCTTATTGGGTTCTGTAGCGGGATGTCAGCGGTCGCGAGAGGGATGATTGAGTGAGAAACGTACTTTGATGACTTTGAGCAGTTTTTCTGGGCCGTTCACGCCTCGGATAGATAATTTGTGTAAGAGTTGGACTGGACGTATGTGAGTTAAAGGGATGAAGAGCAGTTACTTTGAGAACGCACCCATCAACCCGCTAAACCGCTTGAACGTCCGTGGAATCCGGACGTGGGGGTTCACCTCGATGAGGACACCTCGCGCAGTGTGTATGTACACTTGCAGCAACCCCGCTTTATTCAACGGAGAATCCAGCAGCGTCAATAGGCACTATGACTCAAGTCAACTACGAGATCCACAAAACATAATAGATTTTTATAAACATACCTGATGAGTGATATCCGGCCTCGCATCCGCGATATCCCTCCCCGTCTTCGCCAATATCCCCTGGTGGTCATCACAATTCAGAAGCGTATACTTCGCTTCCCCATCCCCCTTCCCATTCCTGCCCTTCCCCGTACCACCTGAGATTTTGTAGGCCTCCAAACACGCCTGCTCCAAAACGACATACAATCTGCGTTGGGGCGACGCGACACCCCCGCGGGGGACGTGCGCCTGCACGGGCAGCATGGACGGGTTGGCGACGGGTTGAAGGGGCGTGTACGGGTTAGGTGTTGAACCTGTCATTTTACGGGCTTTCGACGCGGGCAAGGGGCGTGTGGGGCGGTCGCCTGGTGGTGGTGTGGGATGAGGATGGTTGTTACTTGCATTTTTAAGGATCGTGATAGGTTTATTATCTTGATTTAGCGCGGGGGCGTGATCATCGATTAAAATCTCGGTGCTTCGGGTACCGGCAATGCCATTGTGATCGCCAACCGCATCTTCGTCGTCTATCTGCATGATTGGACCATCGTCTCTGTCCCCCTGCTCCCCCTCGGAATCAGAGCTGTGCGTAGGGCTTTTTTGGCGCCGGCGCTGGGCAGGTCGTTCGCCTGGTGTGGACTTGGGTCGGGGTGGGGGCTCGATGCCGTCTACTGATAAAAAGTGTTTTGGGCTCAGAGTCATGAGCAGGGAATGCGAGTCGCTGTTGTCCATTGACCCGGAATGGCGGCGACGGCGAGCTGGGACGGTCGTTCCCTCCATCTTTGGAGTTATTATTATTTTTGACTGGGTTAGGTTGTAGGTGTTGGCTGAGGGGCGTCGTGAGCGGCAGGAGGAGAGATGGTAGTGGCTCTAATGGACGTATGACTTTTTTATGTCCTCTTGAAAAATTTGTGACGGGGATGGAACACGTGCACACCTTATTTTCGACCCCTGTCCTGTGTCCATGCTTTGCCATTATCTTCTTACATACGAAGCACCACGAAGCTTGCAGGGAAGATATCTTATCTACCACGAAATTGGACAATGCCCGTCAACCGATTCGGTAAATCTCGACATGAAAGCTGGGAACACCCTGAAGCTACTTCAATGCAGGGCAGTTCTGGGGCTCGAAATTCTGCTGGGCTACGGAGAAGCGCGGCCGGAATGACATTCACATTGCTATGGAAATATCAAAGATAGTACTTGGACAGGCGAAGATGGATTTGGATGTCGTATGACCTCGCGTCTGGACTTTCAGATGTGGACTATCAGACAAATCTAAGTTATCCTTTGCCCCACGTTTGCTGTTCAAGCCAGCTGATTCTCATGATGGATAATGGGCCGTCGTTAAAGTGGAGACGACGACGCGCAAATGTACAACACTAGTTCTTGGATGCGACCTTGGATATCATTGCATCTTGGTGTGCTATTTACTCCTATCTGGACAAGGGAAATCGAGAATCGCCGACATCTCTCAATGAGCATCAGATTCCATTCGACTACTCATCTAAGTAAGTTACGCCCAGCACAGGAAACGGCTTGGTGTCCGAAATGATTCGGATATGAGGTCCGGGACGATGTTGATAGTTCCAACACTGCAGAGACCTTCTATGACAGACTTACGCAATGTCCTTGAACAAATGTGATTGATCAAACGTTGCGACTCCGATACAGATTTTGAAAGGATGGTCATGAGCCGTAGTCTCGATACCAGCCGTTATGGATACTTATGTACACTATTGGGGTGTAATTATATACCATAACGTCTGGAAGGACTTTATCAGTACGTGACAGAGAACTTTTTCAAGCTCCGACATCACCTCAAAGAGGAAATTTACGACACGTGCTTTCGTTGATGATCGAGGCGCGTCCGTTGAGCACATCTCCACCTCGATTTCTATGAGCGGAAGCAAGCGCGCTCACGACGAGAACCTACCAGCTACTCCACAGAACCGTTCCTTTACGTTTGTCGATGGCTTCGCACCCAAAAAACCGCGTCTTTCTTTCTGCCAAGAACGCCTGCCAGTTTACCTCTCAAGAAATACAGAACATTCAACGAGATCGCGAAGCCCAACGGCTAACGCAAGCGAGGGAGAAGGAAGAATTGGTGTCACCAATTGAATTGAGGTCTCAGGTGATGAATAATACTGAAGATATACAAATGACGGAGGTGTACCGTTGTACATAATTTAAATTATCCTACGCCTGAATTATTTGAGGACTGCTTAAGCTCATCTTATATGTTTGTGGTCAATATACTAGCATCCGGCATGTACGCGACGCGAACGCGTTCGCCGTTAATGGGCGTGCGTGCATGCGCACGTGCGGATTTCTTTCCTTTTACAGGTGATGTCGGGGTTCGAAAAAGTTCTCTCCTTGGTCGTGATGAAGTCCTACCAGTCTCCATGGTAGTAATTACCCGCTCACACATTCCAAATACAGAACTTCCCCATTTTTTCGAATTCAACACTACGTTCTCTTACTCGAATAAAACATAGCAAATTACTACCATCGGAGACTGGGTTCGAGTCTACATGAGCCGCAGCAAAAATGTTTTACGCAAGCACACGGGGGACGATGTTCATACCTTCCCCAGAGCCTTCCCCTCGTGCACCTGTGCAATTGCCTCTTGCCCTTCAGGTTAACGTTAATGTCTTATATGTATCTATTGACAGTGAGAATGTGGCAATATGGCCGAGCGGTCTAAGGCGCCAGAATCAGGATCTGGTCCGAAAGGGCGAGGGTTCGAATCCCTCTGTTGTCATTCGCAAACTGTGAGTATGCCTTTTTGTCTCGTAGAATTCTTGGTAGTCTCCTGTGTAGATTTATCTACAGATGCCAGTAACCAATCGCAGTGCATCCCGACGCCGTGTATCCCGATTAAATGTTCTCTTGGATTTACTGACAAGACTGCTACCGTTTTCGCTGCCTCTTGAGCTGCCCTCTCCAGGTCCAGGTTATTTATTACCCCTTCTATGCATTTGTATGCATAGACAATATGGCCCATGTGTCCAGGTGCCAGAATATTCGGGTGATGGTTCGAATCCGTCAGTTGTTACTAGGCGTTGAGGTTCATTTTGTTTTTGTCTCGTCAACTTGGACGTAACCTATCGCCATGTACTCCGATGAGTTAATAAAATGTTCTCTTGGATTTACCGACAAGACTGCTACCGTTCTCGCTGCTCTTGAGCTCCATATTATTTCTTACCCCTTCTATGCATTTGCATGCATGGACAAAATGGCCCAGCTATCCAAGGCGCTAGGGGTGATGGTTCGATTCCGTCGGTTGTCATCCCGTCCTAATTTGATCTCGTTTTTGTCTCGTCGTCTGCCATTCTCCTGTGTAGCTTTATCTACAGACGTAACCTATCGCAATGTACCTCAATTAGTTTATAAAATGTTCTCTTGGATTTACCGACAAGATTGCTACCGTTCTCGCTGCTTCTGGAGCTACCCTCTCCAGGTCCAGGTTATTTATTACCCCTTCTATGCATAGAATACATAGACAATATGGCCCAGCTGTCCAAGGCGCTGGGTGGAAGTGCGATGGTTCAAATCCATTACTTGTCATCCCTCGCTTTTGTTGATTTGTTTTTGCCTCGTCGTCTGCAAGTCTCCTGTGTAGCTTTATCTCAGGCTATACAACCTATACATCGCTGCCATAGATGCATTTGTATGCATAGACAATACGGCCCAGCTGTCCAAGGCGCTAGATTGGGTGATGGTTCGATTCCGTCAGTTGTCATTGAGTGTTACTTATCGTTTTTGTCTCGTCGTCTGCCAGTCTCCTGTGTAGCTGTATCTACGGCCGCCAGACGTACTTAACTTGGACCTACTTCAAGAACCTATCGCTGTGTATCCCGATTAGCTCATAAAAGATTTACCGACAAGATTGCTACCGTTTTTGCTGCTTCTTGAGCTGCCCTCTCCAGGTCCAGGTTATTTATTACTTATGCATAGACAATATGGCCCGGCTGTCCAAGGCGCTAGATTGGGTGATGGTTCGATTCCGTCAATTGTCATCCCATATGCGTTTGAATTGATCTCGTTTTTGTCTCGTTGTTCCGCGATGAGCAAGCACGAGGTACGACTGGAAGCTCATTATCGGATAAGATAACGCTAGAGCGTCAGAACGAGACTTTGCGTTTGTACTCATAAGTACAAACACCTATGGATGTCTTTGAGTCTTAGACAAGTCTCCTTGTCCTTCAGTCATCGTTCTGACGCGGTAAAAAGAGTCTTCCCAACCTCAGTCAAATTTTCCCTAGGCACAAACAAGTTATCCGTGTTCACGGATTTCTTGTATTTAAATATTTGCTGTATTTAAATACTCCCTCCTTTCTCCATACTCACAGGACGCTTGAGTTATCTCATCTGCCATTCAACTGCCATTCGCCTGTGTAGCTGTATCTACAGACGTACTTAACTTGGACCTAACCTATCGCTGTGCATCCCGATTAGCTCATAAAATGTTCTCTTGGATTTACCGACAAGACTGCTACCGTTTTTGCTGCTTCTTGAGCTGCCCTCTCCAGGTCCAGGTTATTTATTACCCCTTCTATGCATTTATATGCATAGACAAATGGCCCAACTGTCCAAGGCGCTAGGTGGAAGGGCAATGGTTCAAATCCGTCAGTTGTCATCGAGTGTTATCGCTTTTGTCTCGTCGTCTGCGAGTCTTCTGTGTAGCTTTATCTAGAGACGTAACCTGATTAGCAACTGATTAGTTATGATTATGTTCTCTTGGATTTAAGTACCCACAAGACTGCTACCGCTTTCGCTGCTTCTTGAGCTGCTCTCTCCAGGTCCAGTTTATTACCCCTTCTATTCATTTGTACGCGTAGACAACATGGCCCATGTGTCCTGGACCAGGTGCCAGAATTGGGTGATGGTTCGAATCCGTCAGTTGTTAATAAGCGTTGAGTTCGTTTTGTTTTTGTCTCGTCGTTTGCCAGTCTCTTGTGTAGCTTTATCTACAGATGCCAGTAACGTGTATCCCGATTAGTTTATAACATGTTCTTTTGGATTTACCGACAAGACTGCTACCGTTTTTGCTGCTTCTTGAGCTGCCCCGTCCAGGTCCAAGTTATTACCCCTTCTATGCATACAAATGCATAGACAATATGGCCCAGCTATCCAAGGCGCTAGTCACGGTGGAAGGGCAATGGTTCAAATCCGTCAGTTGTCATCCCGTCCTAATTTGATCTCCTTTTTGTCTCGTCGTCTGCCTTCGTCTGCCAGTCTCCTGTGTAGCTATATCTATAGACGTCACCTATCGCTGTGTATCCCGATTAGTTTTTCAAATGTTCTCTTGGATTTGAAGCTATGATCGTAGATGTGGCCGACAAGAATGCTACCGTTTTCGCTGCTTCTTTCTCCATGTCCAGTTTATCAGTGATCACGCGATCACGCATTTGCATAGACAACATGGCCCAGCTGTGAAAGGCGCTACGTTGGTTCGAATCCGTCAGCTGTCATTCAGATCTAGGGATCATTTTTTGTCTCGTCGTCTGCCAGTTCTCCTGTGTAGATTTATCTACAGACGTAACCTATCGCCGTGTAATTTATGAAATATACTCCTGTCGATTCACCGACAAGACCCAAACTCACACGATGCTGTACCAAAAATGATTTACAGGCGTGTGCTGATCTTTTGCGTGTTACCACCACCATCTTACGCAGCACACACAAACCCCACCGATCGCGCGCGCATCCCAATTATATTGCAACTCAATATCAATTTTTTTTCAATCTCCTAACACTCCACTCCACAAACACCAATTAAAGTGAGTCCATCCATTTCTGTAAAACGCACGATGTTCCTAATCAAGCGCAAAAAAAACGCAGTCACCTCCTCACGAAGATCATCAAGAACAAGTGCTGATCTTAGTCTTAATCTATCCAGGATGTCATCTACACCCGTACCCCAAGCCGCCAGCGCCAGCCCGATGCCGGAGGGCGTGACGGACCCGAATTATCAGCCTCTCCCCGGAAGGTTGGGCAATTTGACGGTCATCCAGCTTCATGGGCTTGAGAAGTTGAAGAAGGAGCTGCAGGAGGAGGGTGTTTTTGTAGAGGAACGGATGGATGATGCGATGTTGTTGAGGTAAGTGGAGTGTGTGGGCGGTGATCCATCCATCCCCCCCTGATGATGATGATGGATGGATTTGTAGGTTCTTGAGAGCGCGCAAGTTTGATCATAATAAGACCAAGGAGATGCTTTTGGATGCGGAGAAGTGGAGGAAGGAGTTTGGTGTTGATGATATTGTAAAGTACGTTTTTCTTCTTCACTCTTTCTTGCCCTTAGGGAAAAGGGGTACTGACGGGTTCACAGGAACTTTGATTTCAAGGAAAAAGAAGAAGTGGACAAGTATTATCCTCAGTATTATCACAAAAACGACAAGGTTCTTCCTCCCCCCTCCCCTTCCATCTAATTACTCACTAAAACGAACGAACAGGACGGCCGCCCAGTCTACATCGAGCGCCTCGGCCAACTCGACATCAAAGCCCTCTACCTCGCCACAACACCCGACCGCCAACTCCAACGCCTCGTCTTCGAATACGAGAAATTCCTAACAGAGCGCATCCCAGCATGCGCCAAAGCCGCGGGCCACCCCGTCGAAACGTCCTGCACGATCCTAGACCTCAACGGCGTCTCCCTCTCCAACTTTTACCGCGTCAAAGACTACGTCAACAAAGCTTCCTCGGTCGGACAGAATCGGTACCCTGAGACGATGGGCAAGTTTTATATCATCAATGCGCCTTATCTGTTTTCGGCCGTGTGGGCGATTATTAAACCGTGGCTTGATGAAGTGACCGTGTCGAAGATTGAGATTTTGGGATCGGGGTATAAGGACGCGTTGTTGAAGCAGATCCCGAAGGAGAATTTGCCCGTGGAGTTTGGGGGGACGTGTGTTTGTGAGGGACGGTGCTCGATGGCGGATGCGGGGCCTTGGAACCCTAAACCCCAGGTACAGGACAAGTCGACGTAGAATGGCTAGTTTTTGTGTTCACTCTTTTCGATAAATAGTAGGCGTGTATATATGTAAAAGAGTGTTGATACCCTCCTCCCGTTTCTAATCCATATCGAACGATTCTGCCTTTTGCCTCCCCTCTTCAAACGTTTGTTCCAACAACGTATTGAACTCTTTCACCCGCTGCGAGTTGATCGCGTGCCCCGTTCCTTGCCACTGTATCAGCTCCGCCTCTGACATCCTCGCTTTCAACTCTAATGAATGTGACGGGAGCACGAGGTTATCCTCGTCCCCCGTTATTATCACCACCTTTGGAATGGACTTTGATATGACTGCCAGTCGCGCGGGCGAGACGTGGTGCGTTAGGGCTGCGGCCATTTGGGAGATGTGGCCCATTAGTTCTTGGGGTTTGGTTATCAGGACACGACGCAGGAATGACTGTATGCACGCGGGTTAGTTGTCAAAGGCTTAGATCGGTGGGATAAGGCTAACCTCGGATTGAACATCTCTATTCGTTCGTCCTTGAGGGTCGTCCTCGTCGTGTTCTGCGAGCCATTTCGAGGGGTACAGCATGTCCATTACCAAGGGCACTTTCTTAGCTGGGTCAGCTATGAATACGAGCCGCGTGAGGGTCTTTAAGCCCGTCCACTGTCCTTCTGTCAGCGCTTTCTCTTGTGCCCGGAAGGGAGAGCAGCAACGTACCGGTGGAAAGTTGTTCCATGGTCGACCACCCGGCGTCGTCACAGCCAAAGTGAGGGAGGCAATGCGCTGTGGTATGCGGGAGGCCAGCTCTGTTTCCGGTGTTAAGTAGTGACGAACGAAAGATAACTGGGTACTACCCACCCTGCGCAATCATCCCACCCAAACTAATCCCAACGACATGCAACTCCCTCGTTCCCGTCCATCCAAGCGTGTCAAGTAGGCAGATAACGTCTTCCGCCATAGCCGACGTCCTACATTCCACAACTCACATCAGCCACACCCACACACGCACGCACATGAGAAAGGAACGCACGTATACGGACCCCTCGGATACCCCGAATGCCCCACTCCCCGATTATCAAACACCAAACTCTTATACCCCTCCTTACCAAAATGTCTAATCTGAGGACCCCATGCGAATGAGCTGGAGTTGAGCCCCATTATAAAGACTATTTTTCGTGCATTTTCAGATGCGGGGGTGGTGCCGTGGATTTCGTAATAGAGTGAATGGCTCTCGAGGAGCTCTGAGCCTTGTGGGCGGAGTTTGGTTACGGGGCAGAGGCCGCGTTTGAGGCATGTTGAGAGGTCGAAGATTGTTTGGAGGTGGGCTGTGGAGGAGGAGGGGGAGAGGTTGGTTGATGAGGATGAGGGGGAGGGGGACGAGGACATGGTGGTTGTGCGGAAGAACGGTTATGGTCACTGACTCATGATAATCACGAATGACGACCAACGTGGACAGCGGCGAACAGGAGACAATTCAATTCCAATACTCGATTTATATAGATATTACTGTACAATGTTCGTCCTCTTCAAAGTATCAACTCCGTGGAATGAGAGGGTAGATATTCTGCAAGGAGACAAAAGGTCACTATTGCCGCGTAGTTTAACGTCGGTTGCATGTAGGATTGATTATGCAAAACGTAGATATTGTCACGGCGAGATAGAAGATTGAAACGAAAGTCGAGCTTGATTGTTACAAAAGGATATGATTGTCGGTCGATACACTGACAGTGAAAGGCCAGAAAGTCAAATTGGCATGCCAGGTTTTATACTCACTCTGTTGTCATTTGTTATTTTCTGAGTGCTAATAATGACGTGATCCCTTCGTTCGCAATGATCATCACGAGCGGTTCTCATCTACGCTACAACATCCAATGTCCAAGAAGATAATCATCGTCGGCGGGCACGGAAACGTGAGTTTCTCTACGCCATTGGCCATTGAAACCACTGAGATAAACACCAAACAGGTCTCGCTAAGACTCGCGCGGCTCCTCTCCACATCCCACGCCGTAACCTCCCTAATCAGAAACCCAGAACACCAACAAGACATCCTCGATACCTCCGCCAAACCCCTCCTCCTCTCCCTCGAAGACGTTTCCGTCCCAGATCTAAGCAAAGCTTTTGAGGGGTACGACGTCGTCTATTTCTCCGCAGGCGCCGGAGCCAACGGCGGGGAAGAAAGGACCAAGAAGGTCGATTATGAAGGTGCCGTAAAGGTATTCGACGCGATTGAGGGTATTACGACAAGTAAACCGAGGTTGATCTTGGTTTCCGCTGTGGATATTAGAGATCCGGAAAAAGTACCGGCGCATTATGCAAGTTTTGTTTTTTTCCATCTGCGCCTGGCATCACTGAGAGATAATTTTTGGTAAGTGTAGAACGAAGACGACATCGCGCGGTCTAAACGGATCCGAGCTGTAATACCCGCATATATGCACTGGAAGTACGAAGCCGATAAGAATCTGGTGAAACGCGATGCGTTCAAATGGACCATCGTCCGACCTGGGGGGTTAATGAATAACCCTGGGACTGGGAAGGCGGACATTGGCAGGACACATCTGGAAAAGACTATTTCTGTGAGTTCTTCTCCCACTTCGCGATTGCGCATGTCTGATTTGATGCTAGAGAGACGACGTGGCTAAGGTTCTTGCTCTTCTTGTTGACAGAGAGGATGCGGCAGGTTTGGCTATCGATGTTGTTGGCGGGGATAACCCGATTGAAGAAGCTTTGAATGCGTTTATTGAAAAGGGGGAGACAGATTTTTTGGGATAAACCTTGGAAGCTCAAAACCGATACCATGACCTATTGTGTACAATTGAAGTTGACTCAGAATTCACATGTACATTACTTACTGCGTCGAAATTATCCATACCCATCTATGTGGCACCGTCGTGTTTTGGGTATCCTGTCTCCGGCGTTTTCCCGACATCCACACCCTTACAACAACGAGCCAGCGCTAGTCCGATGCCAGAGGGTGTCATGGACCTGAATTACCAGGTAGGTTGGGGAATTTGATGGTCATCCAGCTTCATGGGCTTGAGAAGTTGAGGAAGGAACTGCAGGAAGAGGGACGCGTTCGTCCCGGAAGGGATGGCTGTCTCCTGAGCAAACGGTCTTCATGGAGAGCATTTAGCGACTTTTATGCAACGTCTGCACAGATTCCATACACGGTGCCGCTCCGAAGCAGGGTTTCGGCACGAACATGGCCCCATGCCCAGTCATCGTGCCCTTGCCAAATACACAACAGAGAAACGTCGTGGCCACACGCCTTTGCAGGTCTAAGTACGGTAATAAGTATGAGCAAAGCACAGGTTCGTTAAGTACCCACTTTCACAAATGTTAACAGCTTCACCGGACTGTCGTGTTTTGGGTACTCTGTTCTCCGCATTTTCCAACAAGGCTGCCTTTTGAACAAACGGTTCCCGGTTTTTCAGGGAGAGCTAGTGACTTTTCCGCAACGTCTGCACGGATTCAGTACACCGTGCCGCTCGAAAGTAGGCCTTCGACACGAACATGGCCCGATGCCCAATCATCTCGCCCTTGCGAAGTACACAGCAGAGACACACGCCTCCGCCAGGTCTAAGTATAGTAAGAAGGATGAGCAAAACAAAGGTTCGACCAGTACCCACTTTAACAGATTCACCACTAGGTTCGAGATCCTCCAACGGAATGAGAACGTCGACGATGGGTTTCGCATGGCCGCATTCACGGAATACGATCCCCACCCAAGCCAGCTCGTGTTGTTGCTGACCACATCGTTGTTTCTACCCTTTCTCGTCGTCGCCATTGTCCACCCCTCCCAGTGGAGTGACTTTGGAGCCGTCTTTCATCAAGCACGGTGTCCATACCACAAGTCGACCTGTAGCGGTCTGATGAAAGTTTGGCCAACGAGTGGACAGACGTCCCGCTGGTATTCTTCGATCGCCAGACTATTCAGTTCCTGCCCTCCTAAGCCACCTGTGATCTCTTCAATCACCAACGCGTAGGACATTTACATAAACGACTTGACTCACTGATGGTGTTTTCATGAAAAAACTGGTGCAGTAGGCAGAGGTCCGGCTAGAGAGACGAGGTTGAAGGAAGATCAGGGAGTCGAAATTAAGAGTCTAGATGGGTGATGAGATCAACGAAAGTGTTCAGCCTTGTTTTTGGTTTGCCGGAAACTCCAACCTGTGACATTTTCTTCCGAAACGTAACGTGTGGTGGCGACTGGTTCTGCCTCCAGATACTACGCTTGGCAGAAAGCGTTAGCGTCAGTGCCAGGCGCGGTGGTCCGTCTTTTTTGGCTCTCCATCTACTGTGGGCGGCGCCATGGTTCCGAAGACAATGCTGACACAGAAAAACCTCTCATGATCTAATTCTGAGCGGATACTCGACCTGGCCTGAGGAGCTGTTTTCTTACTGAGACGCTTTCTACGTTGAAAAGCTCTACAGCAGCAGGTGGAAGACAAAAAGGCGACTGCTGCCTAGGGACGAGTTGCTTGGACCTGTTGCCGTGGAAAGACATAAGCCGACGCGTTCGGAGATCGATAACAGGCTAAGGAGTAGATAGGTGACTAATTAGAACTGAGTAATAGGTCAAGAGAAGAAAAAGGACACACGACTGCCACCATGGTCGGTGGTGGTCTCGCGGATTCGTTCATTGCCCAGGTATGCGGCAGGTTCGGAGTAATATCGGCGCGACTAAATTTCATTACCAATGGCGTCGATACTGAGTTACTGGGGGCGGATTAGAGTTGGATTAGAGCAGCGAACAGACGGCTAAGAGGAAGGCTACACACCATGTTTCTGTACGAGCAATGACTTCCTGAATGAACGATGATTTGGCAACTTCGTGATGTGTGAGAGTCTCGCGTCCTTCACAGAAAAGTATAACAATGACCTAAAGAAAGTTCAAGGACATAGAAGGCTGAGACGGTAAAGGGGAAACCTACGATGAATACCTTGTGGCAACAGAAGTTGGAGGAAGGAATAGCGTGCGAAGTAAGCTGTACGCCCAGCGTCTCTTGAGCGTCTCGTCCCTTTGAGTCTCTTACCTACAACCTTCATCTCAGCCAACTTCCACTGAACCTCTTTCTTGATCAACAAGCTTCAATCAACCTCTACAACATCTCGTCACCATGCCAGAGTCAAAATTACCCTCCGATAGTTCTCCGAAATCAGATGCGCCTTCCATCCAAGAGCCTGGATCTCATATTGTGGGAGCTCGCGTTCGTATCGCGAATTAGGGAAATGTCTTGGTGGTCGTTAACAATACTTCTACAGACTCCTGTTGGAGAAAGTGACTGTACCGAAGCCAGTGCACAGGGTGCCTGGACCGAAGCCAGTGCACAGGAGAGCCCTCAACTGGTACGTCCTTTACAACGTTCAATGCATCACGATAAGCTAATGAAGAGCAGGTCACGGATATCGGCCAAGCTGGACGAACACCAGACACTGATAGGAACACCATCGCTACCGATGTAAGTAGATGACGTTGTCCCACGTCCCGAGATTGTGATTATGATGACCCATACTGCAGGAGTTTATTAACGATGGCGAGGATGATGTGTCCGGAATGATCAATCTTGCCGTCTTGCTCATGGCAGAATGCAAGGCAGGGTTACCACTTTCAGAGCTAGAACAAGCCGTCTTCCTGTTTCGTCAAGTTGTAGATAGCCGTCCAGGAGGACACCAACTCCACCGTGCTACGAAGAGAGATCTCGCGTCCGCATTGGGTGTCAAATTCATGTACACCAATCAACGACATGATTTGATGGAATCTTTGACTCTTCGCAATGAGATAGTCAAGGGTTCGATTTCAGACCAAGAGGCGAGCCCCGAGGTGAGCGCATTTCATTCTTGACAACATATATTAGCTTAGTGAAGATTAAGACCACCATCCGACTAGAGGACAAGACGGACACAGAAGACACATCAGAACTGGCGAAGGGATTGTTGACGGACTTCCAGAAGTCAACTTCCCTTCACATTCTGAACACCATTGTCTTTCTTGCTCAACAGGCACTTGTGCAACTATCAGCTGCATCTACTAGCTGGTTCATCACATTGACGACTCTGGTTGATGCATTATATGCCCGCTTTAACCATTCCTATGATCTGACTGACCTAAACGAAGCAATTTCTAGTTTGCAAGATGCTAGCAAATGTTGCACGGAGCGAGATCAGCAAGAATCGAACATAAACTTCCGGATCTGTGGGCTGTTAGCAACACGATTTGATTTTATGGGGGATATTTCTGATCTTCAAATGGCATCGGATTGGATGATCAAAGGCACTGAAACTTCCACAGGTCTTCTGGAATTGCTTAAGTCTGCCAATGAACTTTGTAAACAGTTCACAAGGTCAGGTAATATGGCTGACCTGAATACAGCAGTGACACTTTTTAGGAAAGGGATTGCAGAGCTACCTCAGGGAAGTGAGAATTATGCAGCTGCCATCAATAATCTTGCAAATGCACTGTTGACCCGATTCAAGCAAGGAGGTCAACAAAGTGATCTTGATGAAGTCATTTCTCTGCACAGGCATGCTCTTGAGCTCTTCCTTCCACCCCATCCCAATCGATCCAGCTCACTCAACAATCTTGCTTCTGCACTGTCAACCCGATTTGAACAAGAAGGTCAGCAAAGTGATCTTGATGAAGCCATTTTGCTGCACAGGCAAGCTCTTGAGCTCTTTCATCCATCCCATCCCCTTCGACCCATCTTGCTCAACAATCTTGCAGCTGCTCTGTTAACTCAATTTCGGCAAGGAGGTCAGCAAAGTGATTTTGATGAAGCCATTTCTCTGTACAGGGAAGTTCTTGAGTTCCTTCCACTCCATCCCAATCAATCCCAGCATGCTCAACAATCTTGCTTCTGCACTGTTGACTCAATTTGAGCAAGGAGGTCAGCAAAGTGATCTTGATGATGCTATTTATCTGCACAGGCAAGCTCTCGAGCTCCAACTTCCACATCCCAGTCGATCCAACACACTCAACAATCTTGCAAATGCACTGTGGACCCGATTTGGACAAGGAGGTCAGCAAAGTGATCTCAATGAAGCCGTTTCTCTGCACAGGCAAGCTCTTGAGCTCCGACTTCCACCTCATTCCCTTCGATCCAGCTCACTCCACAATCTTGCTTCTGCACTGTCAATCCGATTTCTGCAAGAAGGTCAGCAAAGTGATCTTGATGAAGCCATTTCTCTATACAGGGAAGCTCTCAAGCTCTTCCTTCCACCCAACCCCCATCGATCTAGCTCACTCAACAATCTTGCTTCTGCACTGTTAACCCGATTTCGGCAAGGAGGTCAGCAAAGTGATCTTGATGAAGCCATTTCTCTGCACAGGGAAGCTCTTGAGCTCTTCCACTCCATCCCAATCCCTTCGACCCAGCATGCTCAACAATCTTGCAAATGCACTGTTGACTCAATTTGAGCAAGGAGGTCAGCAAAGTGATCTTGATGATGCTATTTCTCTGCACAGGCAAGCTCTTGAGCTCCAACTTCCACATCCCAATCGATCCAACACACTCAACAATCTTGCAAATGCACTGTGGACCCGATTTGAACAAGGAGGTCAGCAAAGTGATCTCAATGAAGCCGTTTCTCTGCACAGGCAAGCTCTTGAGCTCTGACTTCCACCTCATTCCCTTCGATCCAGCTCACTCCACAATCTTGCTTCTGCACTGTCAACTCCGATTTCAGCAAGAAGGTCAGCAAAGTGATCTTGATGAAGCCATTTCTCTGCACAGGCAAGCTCTCGAGCTCTTCCTTCCACCCAACCCCAATCGATCTAGCTCACTCAACAATCTTGCTTCTGCACTGTTAACCCGATTTCGGCAAGGAGGTCAGCAAAGTGATCTTGATGAAGCCATTTCTCTGCACAGGGAAGTTCTTGAGTTCTTCCACTCCATCCCAATCATTCGACCCAGCATGCTCAACAATCTTGCTTCTGCACTGTTGACTCAATTTGAGCAAGGAGGTCAGCAAAGTGATCTGGATGATGCTATTTATCTGCACAGGCAAGCTCTCGAGCTCCAACTTCCACATCCCAGTCGATCCAACACACTCAACAATCTTGCAAATGCACTGTGGACCCGATTTGGACAAGGAGGTCAGCAAAGTGATCTCAATGAAGCCGTTTCTCTGCACAGGCAAGCTCTTGAGCTCCGACTTCCACCTCATTCCCTTCGATCCAGCTCTCTTCACAATCTTGCTTCTGCACTGTCAACTCGATTTGAGCAAGAAGGTCAGCAAAGTGATCTTGATGAAGCCATTCCTCTATACAGGGAAGCTCTCAAGCTCTTCCTTCCACCCAACCCCCATCGATCTAGCTCACTCAACAATCTTGCTTCTGCACTGTCCACCCGATTTCGGCAAGAAGGTCAGCAAAGTGATCTTGATGAAGCCATTTCTTCTGCACAGGCAAGCTCTTGAGCTCTTCCTTCCACCTCATCCCAATCGATCCAGCTCGCTCAACAATCTTGCAAATGCACTGTGGACCCGATTTGAGCAAGGAGGTCAGCAAAGTGATCTTGATGATGCCATTTCTCTGCACAGGCAAGCTCTCCAGCTCCAACTTCCACCCCATCCCAACCGATCCAGCTCACTCTCCAATCTTGCTTCTGCGCTGTCGACCCAATTTCAGCAAGGAGGTCAGCAAAGTGATCTCAATGAAGCAATGTCTCTATTCCTCATTGCTACCCAATACCCCTTCCAATCTCCATCTAATTGCCTCCATGTTGCAAGGAGATGGACACATTGTGCAGATAGAAATCAACATAGCTCTGCAATTGATGCTTATGAAGCTTCCATACAGGCTTTACCACAGGTGGCTGCTCTGAGCTTGGATGTAGCATCACGACAGGACGCCATGGCAGGCAGTGATGGCTTAGCTCGGGATGCAGCTAGATGTGCTATTCGCTCTGGATGTATAGACAAAGCCATAGAACTTCTAGAAGCAGGACGAAGTATCTTCTGGTCACAGGTTCTATCTCTCCGCTCACCCTTTGATCAACTCCACAGGATTGCACCAGAAGGTCCAGAATTGGCAGATAAGCTACAAAATATTGCAACTCAGCTGGAGATTGGATCTCATCGTGATGTTTTTTCTGAGATTTTGGACAACAGGAAGAAGTTATCTGTAGACCAGGAAGCAGCCCGACTCAATCGCCTTAAGGAAGAATGGGCTCAATCTATTGACAAAGTTAGGAACTTGAGTGGATTTGAGGACTTTCTATGCCCATCCCGTTTATCCTCACTCAAAGCAGCTGCGTCAGAACATCCAGTTGTCATTCTCATTGCAAATGATGATGAAAGCCATTGCCTCATCATGACATCGACAATCACTCATCACATCCCTCTTCCAAAATTAGGCACTCCTATGTTAAAGGCACTTGCCCATATCATTCGGGTAGCTAGCTCTCAGGTATCACGGTCGCTCATTGATCAAACCCAAGACATAGACTTAGTTATAAAGCTTCTGGGAGAAGAACAAGCAGGGAGGTTACAAGTTCAAGTTAGCAGAAACATTCACCTTAGATATTCAGATGACATGTTCAAATCTGTTTTGAGGATGCTGTGGGACGAATTGGTGAAGCCAGTCATTGATTTTCTAGATATCAAGGCCAGTCATTATATTTCTGCAAATGATCAACCTACTTATGAAATATTATAGAAATCAAACAAAATGACTGTCCTGCAATGGTGCCCAACTGGTCATTTCACCTTCCTTCCCATCCATGCTGCAGGCTGCTATGATGATGAGCTAGCTATTGATTGTGCCTCTGATTACTTCATTTCTTCATACACTCCAACCATAGGGGCACTTCTGGCCTTGGATTCAGCTCCCACCACCCAATCATTCCAAATGATGGCTGTGATCCAATCTGAAGGGCTGCCTTCTACAAGAAGTGAGCTAGAAAACATTCGGCGACATGTATCTTGTGAAGCTCTCATCGAATTAGGAGTTCCTGGAGTAACTGCTGGAGTTGAAGCTGTTGCCTCCTGCCTTTCGAATGTGTCTATTGTTCACTTTGCATGCCATGGGAAACAAGAGACAGGGAACCCACTTGACAGTGGGCTCGAGCTCGATGATGGGCGACTCCGAATCTCAAGAATTATGAAGGAAAAGATGCCAAATGGATCACTTGCCTTTCTCTGTGCTTGCGAGACAGCCATGGGTGATCAAAATCTACCAGATGAGGCTAGTGTTTGGAAGTCCGGTCTCGTGACTGGAAAAAGACCGTAACCAGACCGGACCAAGACCGCAAAAGACCAGACCTGCGGTTACGGTCTTTTATTTTTGAAATGTAAAGACCGCAAAAAAACCGGTTAACGTGAACCGGTCTTGACCGGTTTGGACCGGTCTTTTGTAGCCCCTTAAATACCCTTTAAAACGCACCCAAGAACGTACGATTTGGTAAAAAAACGAGAGAGATATGAATTAAAATGTAAATTACTTTTGGGAATAATAGATGTACCAGACTTATTTTATAGAAGCACCAATTCCTAACGGAATTTAACGTTCTTGGGCTCGTTTTGAAGCTATTAGAGATGTTAATAAATTTACCGATTCATAATTTTAAAATATTGGCCTAAAGACCGGTCATAAACCAGTTAAAACCGATGCAGACCGAAACCGGTCTATAGACCGCAAAAAACCGCGGTCTGCGGTCTTTTTGCGGTCCGGTCTGGTCTTTTGACTTCTGGGGAAAAGGCAGACCGGTTATGGTTACGGTTAACGCCCCTGGGCATCAAAAAACCGGACCGAACCGGACTTTCAAACACTAGATGAGGCAATGAGCATAGGTGCAAGCTTGATTTTTTCTGGATTTCGGCGGGTCATCGCTACTATGTGGTAGGTTGTTATTAGCATTGTTCCTGTGGGAATAAATTCTGAAAGCCTTAATTGTGCTAGGGAAATGATCGATGAAGATGGACCTACTATTGTGGACACATTTTATGAAGAACTTTGCTCTGGCGGTCTTGATGGAAGACCAGCTCTTAAACCTGATATGACAAAGTCTGCCCTAGCCCTTCACCTTGCAGTCAAGAAACTCCGTTCGCAGGGTGTCTCATTCCGTCGTTGGGTTCCCTTTATCCATATGGGCAAATAATATGACACATTTCAACTTCGTTTGGGATATTTTTTGTCTCTCCAAGGCAATTCTCATTCTGTCCCTGACTCCAAGGAGGGTTTCATCAAATGTGAACGACCCTCTATTGAATTGAATTTGAATATAACTCTATACTTTCCAGGATGATAGCCCATGATCTGCAGCCATGGTTTATACAATGTTTGTACAAAATCAGAAACTTCCAATGGGTACTAGTGATCGGTAGAATACTGAATATGAGAGTGCTCCTCAAAATGTGACTAGAAAAATTCTTCAAGACTGTCAGAGAGGTGGGATGAACAAGGGCAAAAGGCACGTACTGCGGTGAACGATGCCAGGACCTGACTCGTCGTATTCTTGTTTAGAGCACCACATGCTCCAGAACGTGCCAAGAGAGGCTAAAATCGACCCTCCAATCCAGACGGATTTTTTGCGTTCAGGGGCACTACAGTCTTGACCTACAATGAAAAGACTATTTCAACCCGTATAGGTGAGCAACCAAATGAGTTCAGAAGAACCATACTGCTGGAGGGTGCGAGCGCTGTGAGCTCCTTCTGGATGCGATCGGCGATACCAGGGTACATGGTGGTCCCACCAGATAGGACAACGTTGTTGTAAAGGTCACGGCGCACATCAAGATCGCATTTATGAATCGAGGTGTAGCTTAAGAGGTGGTCGTAGTGAGGAATCGGTGATATTGTCGGTAGACTTGACTTACAGTGTCTCGTGTAAACCAGCAGTTTCTTGTCCTAGTAAAGAAGGCCGAAATAGAGCCTCTGGGGTGCGGAATCTGGCCATCGAATGAACACGCCGTATTTCTGGATAGGATGGTTGAAAGCCTACCTCTCATTCCCGATGGTGATAATTTGACCGTCAGGCAATTCGTAGTTTTTCTCGATCGAAGATGACTCAGCAGCAATCTTGAGCTCCTGCTCAAAGTCAAGCGCGACATAACATAACTGCTCCTTGATGTCCCGCACAACTTCTCGCTCAGCCGTCGTGACAAATGGGTATCCACGTTCCAGCAAAATCTTGGTCATGTACTCAGTGAGATCTCGACCAGCGAAATCGATTCTCTGAATTGCATGTGGGAGAGCGAAGCCTTCGTAAATGGGAACGGTGTGAGTGACACCATCGCCGGATTCCAACACAATACCGGTGGTTCTGCCTGAGGCATAGAGAGCGAGAACAGCTTGAATGGCGACATAGAACGCCGGCGCATTGAAAGTCTCGAACATTACTTGCGCCATCTTCTCGCGGTTAGCTTTGGGGGTTAAGAGGTGCCTCTGTAAGAAGAACGGGATGCTCTTCTGGTGGTATGCGTAGTTCGTTATAGAAGGTGTGCTGCCAGATCTTTTCCATGTCGTCCCAGTTTGTGACAATGCCGTGCTCGATGGGGTACCTTAACGTGAGCATACCACGTTTGGATTGAGCTTCGTCACTGCGTTCAAGTTAGATCAACCATTTCACTTTTCTTCGGGATTGGAATTGCTACCCAACGTAAGAGTCCTTCATGTTGGAGCCAGCCATTGCTATACAGTAGCGGGGACGACCAACGACGGATCTAACGACAAGAGATATCGTAAATTTAGCTGAACTTGACGACACTAGGACCGACTTACGGAAAAACGATTGAAGGGGAATCATCACCTGAGGATACGGTCCATGTCAGTCATTGATACATCGACGAGAACTGAGACAGTACCGGCAACTGAAAACAAATCAGACGATGGTAATTAGCTTTCTGAATGAAGAAAATGAAGCGAGTACATACATCCTGCCTTGCACACGCCAGAGCCATTGTCGATGACCTGAGCAGAATTGAATTCCAATGCTAATATAAGTGGCTTCTGTGCACATACCACAGCAGTAAGATCATCGTCCATTCCTGTGATAGATGCTCGAAGAGGAAAATTAAATCAGAGGGTTCTTGTTCGTCAACATATGCATCATCCTGAAGAGGTTTTGGATGTTATAGGGAGTTCAACACCAGAACCGCAGCAAGTATTTGGACTTTGTATGCCGACTTGATGAGAGTAATGGCGACGTTTTGGACGCTGCGAGCTGCGGGGTCAAGAGTTGTCAGGTGCGGTGTGGGTAGGAATGGTAGCAATTATGAGTCGTTGACGGAACCAAGACCGTGACTGAGCCAAAAACCCGGATATTTTGATTTTGATTATAACCATGCAACTTGCGCATACCGTTCACCGCAACTCAAACGCGTTCTCCTTTGCTAAAGCTACGTTCATAATGTATTTAACTGACTAACCTGGTGGAATTCAGGAGAACTTCGTGTGGTGCTTCTACCCGTCAGTACTCAGTCCCAATCCAAACGTGCAACTTGGTCCAGCGAATGTCAGCCACCAGCAGCTCCGCTCGCTGCTCAAACGCTTCTAGACCAATCCTCGAACGACGACAATGTCCCCCATACCGAGTATCTGGGTTGCGCTTACTCCGAGAGTCCTGGCTGATAACCGCCCTGGGATGATCGAACTTCCATCCAGCATAAAGCATAAGGATATCTGGGCCTATCTGGCTCTTACTTCGGTCATTCTGGTCATAACCCTTCTCCTGGCATACCTAGTATACAGCTGCTATGCTGTCAGCAACCGAACACCCATCGCCTCCGCAACGCCAGCTGATCACAAACCCCGCAAAGAGCGAAAGAAGCCAAATCGTTGTAGGTCTGATAGTCAGGTACGTTGTTCAATATCGTCGCCCGAAAATCCTCGTGCTCACAACCCGATAGCGCATGATGATGATGTCGAACGCATCACAAGTTTCAGTCAACGAACCAACATTCGAACACGATCAGTACTCTGTCAGCATACCGCCACTTGCAGTGACCACGACGTCCCCGCTCAACTACGGGCGGCCCGTTGACAAGCCAGTAGATCATTCATCCCACAGTTACGAAACGCCCCGCGGTTTGGACTCGCACAATATTCGCTACATCCCACCTATCACGTCCTGCAGTCCGCCTGCCGTTGTTATGATATGGAACGACCCCAAGCTCTCTCCAATACACGGATCGATCGTAATGTCCCCTTTCGATGATGGTTCTGACAACACGACGATCCTTGGTGCAGTCCCAGCCTGCAGGAGGTCGTCATGCTAAGAAAGACTTGCCGGAAAGGGGAATACCTAGTATCTAAGTGCAGAAGTTTGTTTGCCGTTTTTCCAAGTCTCACAATGATCCACTTCTTTGACAACACTTCCTATTCGTCATTCGAATGCGCCCGCTTGTTTGTTTTCTTTTTTTTAGAAAGATTATTCGATTGATTACTTCAATATAATGTATGTGTTACATTTGAACCCAGTCTTCAAAACAATATCAGACCTTCAGCCTTGTCCTTGGGATTGGCCAACGAACTATGGAGCAATCGTTCATAAAGGATCCTCCGACGAAGAGATGTTGTACAGCTCATGCCATTCAAAGCTACGCCTGGTAGCATTACCGAGGCTTCGAAACTGACGAAATTGGATGCAGTCCCAGTCAATTTGCTGTTCTGCATCTTCAATCATCCAAGATACCCGCAGCAAGCTACAACCTGCTTCCTAGCTTTAGCAAGCAGTTCCTGCCGATCATTACTCTCCATGACCTCAGCAAGAGACACTGCCTGTGTCGCCGTTTCCAAAGCATCCGATAGAAACCCCAAATTAAAGTGAATTACGGAATGGTCCAGCAGAGCATGAGCAAAGTCACTCCGGAGGTCTGGTCTGGTCTGTGTGAGATGTGCAAAACATCTGACGGCTTCACAAGCCGACCCCACCGCTTCTTCGTGCAGCTTTAGCTGTGCCTGAAGGGCAGCGAGCTCTTGGAGAGATGTAGCAATACTCAGCTTGACCAGGTCCGAGCGATAATTCACTTGAGATAAAGAGCGGTAAAGACTGATGCTCTCCGTCAGCAGTTGCAGTGATACATTGTCAGGCTTGAAGCTCAGCCCTTCAGACCTGGAAATGGCTAGTTCCCTCAAGGATCGGGCCAGGGCGAGGACGTTTGGGTGGCTCTTGCCTTTCGATAATAGTTGGCGCCGTTTCTCCACAGCCATCTTTTAATACTTTTGCGCTTCTGCAAAGTTTGTTAGCTTGCGATAAGATTGAGCGACATCTTCAAGTATATCTGCCCGTTGAATATCAGAAACGATATGCAGTGTAGGGCGTTCGTAGATATCGATGGCTTCCTTGAAAAACTTGATAGCTTGCAGGAAATCCTTTGCACGCACGTGTGCGCGCCCAGCACAAGTCAGCGATGATGCCAGATGCTGGTTAAACCGATCCGGGTAACCATTTGCAAGCTTGCGAAAAAGAGATACCCCTTCCTTCGCTGCTCGAGAAGCTTCCTCGCGTGCTCCCAAAGAAGAATGTATTGCTTGAGCCTCCATCAAAGAGTCTGCCAGGTGGTGAGAGAATCTACCCGGACGTGAATGCTCAAGGGCCCGCCAGATAGCTATGCCGGCCTTTACCAGCCCCAGCGCTTCGTCATGATGCTTAAGACTATGAAAGCACTTAGCATTGGCGCTGAGTGCAGCTGCGTACTCTGCACCATACTTGGAAGCATGGGTCTTGCGCAGTCGCATATATATGTCTATGGCTGACTGAGCTTGGAACTGCGCAGCGGCAACCTGTCCTGCAGCTCGTAGCTTATCGGCATAATTGACCAAAGACATCGCTAGATCCGCACGAAACTCGACAGCCTCCGGACCGGAGAAGGACTGGTAGATATCCACGCTCTGTCTTGCACTTGTCAGAGCCTCTTTCGTGTTCCCGTTATAGCTTAAGCAATTAGCGAGAGTCAGCTGCGATAGGGCCAGATTTGCTTCCAGGACAGGATTACGACTGCACTGAGATGTTCTGAGATGAGTGTACATCGTAACAGCTTCTCGAGCTGACAAAAGCGCTTTCTTGTATAGGCCAACGTGTGATAGATGTATAGCGAGATTGTGGAGGGCGGTGGCATATGTGTCACTGGGCTCGTTCTTGGTTGCAACACATACATCTTGTAGCACCTGCGCTGCCTTCCTGCTCATGTCGCATGCGCCGTGATAATCGCCCAATTCACAAAGTTTAACTGAGAGCCGATCAAGTTCAACTGCGACGATATCTGCCTCCAATGCCTTTGCATTCAGCAATGTCATGATGCTCGTTCCATGGATAATCGCATCCAAAGATGTAGTGGAAAGGTCGACTTGTCTCTCACGTGGAGCGCGCCGAGCGATCGAGGTCTTTAGGGAGTATGATCGACCCACCACGGAGCGGGACCTGCTTATTCGGCGGTCGACAGCTTGAGACAGCGACTTTGCCATCTCTTTCATCTCTTTCGCCTGATGCGCGGTAACAGGGGCCTGTGCATCTTGGGTGCCGTTGTTCTGGGAACATATATGTACTGTTTTAGTCGTGGCCTGGACACCACGTTCAGTGCGTTTCACTGATGAATGTCCGTCAGATTCTGAGGGCCCATATACGTTTATCTTTGGCAACGTCAAGCAAGATTTGTGCTTGGTTTGGGCATGAGCTGGGGGTGTCCGCTTTGGGGTGGCGGTTGTAATGGTGTTGTATACTTTCTCCACAGAAACGTTTGGAAAGTTGAGGTTGAGGGTCACCTATCATCGTTCTAGTTAATGAAGCACGGCGGCCAAGAAGAAGATACATACAGGACCTGTGATCGGGGGTAAATGATTGTGGATAGATGGTGGTTTTAGCGACGTCCCTGGCTGCGGTATCACGCGACGGAGCATATCGGTCACATTGTCCAACTTCTTCGACGATTCCTTCGTTACGATCTCGGTCCGAAATGAGGCATGCACCTACAAGACCAATTTTGACAAAATTATCGCCATCTTGCATTTCTTGTAAACAGATTTCGATTCGCACCAAATAGATCTGACGACAAGATTCAAGCCGCTTCTGAATAGAATCAATCTCTCCCTTGATTTTGTCACTGTTCCACCACGCTTTGAAAGTGAGTCCCCGATGCAGCTCCATGTCCTTGCATTTCTGCAGGAGTGAATCAAGCTCACTAGGTCATGATGTCAGACAAAGAAGAGAGGTTGGGACAATGACCATACCTCCTCAAAACTGTAAGCTCGGAACGAAGCTCCTCGTATTGGCTTCCGCGATCATGGAGTAATTCGAACTTTTCGCCAAGATACTGAATAGGACGTAAGATCTGCCTTTCAAATTCCTCGACTGCCTTTCTATTCTCTTTGACCTGAAAGGGCGGAGATCTCTGTGAAATCTTCCGATGAAAGAAACGATCAGATTGAAGTACTGACTTTGTCTAAAGATTCCTTGAATTTGAGGGAGAGCTGATATATACCGTGAGCCAACTTGATGACTTCCACATTCCTGATAAAGGATAAGAGAAGGGGGGAGGGGCGACATGAAGCTTGACCAACCCTTTTAACATGTTGAACGTATGCACCTGCGTCTAAACGTGAGGCGCGCATACTACATCCGTGTGGGGAGGTGCTATAACGATTGGAAATTGGTTTCTGAGCGCTTAAGGCCATGGTCATACAGACCACATTGCCGAATTGCGACATCAACCGCTAAGAGCGGGAGGAAACTTGCCTCTTCCGGCCCAAGTTTACCATACATGAGGACTGTGTCACATACACGAGGCTGTTATAACAACCGAATTGTTGAAGGAGTGCCCACAAATAAGTCACATGGACAAGAGGAAAGCTGTTGAAGTTTGCAGATCACATTCTTATAATTTTGAGCAGAGGCAGCGCAGAGCGGAGGTGGAGGTGAACATATTGGCCAAAAAGTAAGCGCAAGCCCATGGGTGACCCCAAGGCGGTCTAAACATCTCAACGCGCCACTGAAATGTTGCACCTACGACATTTTAATCAGGGCATCCAACCAAGAATGATATTCTGAAAAGTTGTACGTCATCAAGGATTAAACACCGAGATCCGCCAAGTCGATGGCAGTAAAATTGACCGACATTGCGTTCAACTTCGGACAGACCGACACAATTTGCGGGAGGAAATATTTATGCCGGTTCAAGATAACGTCTTGAGAAGGGAGAAGTTGTTCCGCCAAATCAACTTTCTCCAAGCTCGGGAACAGAGCCGAAATGCCTGCACCACAGGCTCGTCCCGGTCATCCATCTTCATCCAATGGCGCGTCCGAACAGTGAGATGCGTAACCCTTGTGAGGTTCCCAATACATCCAACGACGTCAGAGGGAGCCGTGGGGTTTGACAGGTGTTTCTCAAACCATTTGTGCAACCCGGTCTTTGACACGAAGTTGAAGTGAAGATGTATTGCATCCATTCGAGAACAAAGCGCGACGGCTTCGAGGGCTTCGTCGAATTGATCATAACCGAAATCGCCAGGCTCCGATGTTATTGTGACCTCCTTGAGCTCTTTCAAGTGGGCAGCTGTACCGCGGAGGAGCCATGCTATGATCTTTGGATGTGTTCCTACAGCACGCAATCTGGTAGGAATGGGATTTCGAAGTTTAGGCGTCGGTTTGGGGAAATTGATGCCAGATAAATTCAAAACCTTGATCGAGGGATGGCGTTTGAGAAAGGTATGAATATCGCCAAGGGCTACCCCTGATCCCCCAACTAGCTGATGCGTCGTCACAATGTCGAACAGGCACAATGAAGGCAAGGTAAGGGTGGCAAGGAGTTGGTGCCAGGTAGACGATCTGACGTCGTGGAACCTGAGGTGGGTCAAGGATCTAGTGTTGGTTTGAAGACGACTTTGGGTCCAACGAAATAGATAGGGATGAAGGAGCATTGGAGAATTGATATAAAGCGACGACAATCGGGAGCGGCTCGGTGAATGGGAAGTTTTTGGTAGATGCGTAACTCTCGAAAAAAAAAAAAAAGACGAAATCTTCCGACTTGCTGTCGCTGATAAAGCCTTGAATTTCAAAGCAGGCCATTCCTGCGATTCCAGCTCATCAGGATCCGCAAACAGATTGTCGCCTCCGTATATCTGAAGGTCCCGGCAGGACTTCTGGAGTGCTGTATCCATAAGCGCAGCAAGCTCTACGCTCCACTTCTGCATATCGAGTAAAGCACCTTGAAATCTTGAGTCGACAACGCCCTGGTATGATGGGTATAACACGGTGAGGTGGGAAATCAAAGGCAAACGCAGGAGCAGCATCTGCAACATGCGAAGATCAAAGAACAGTCTGCACTCCTCCGCACTGGGGTAGAAGTGAACCCTTTGCAGACTTGGGGCAAACAGAGACGTCCGAAGGGCGATCAAACCCTCTTCAGAGGGGCCGATGATGGAAACGAGGTCAGGGCCTATGATGCGGATGCCATTTCGCGACAGGACGAGGGGAAGGGCGAAAAAATGGAACGTCTTACACGTTTGCGTGAAAGCGTAGATCGATTCATCATCAAGTGGGTTGATGATCTGTGAGAGTAGCTCGTGAGGCAGGTCTGTCAATTGAGCGAGGCTTGGTGGCGACATTACTCGTTAGTTCGCACTCCAGGGACCGTTGAACTTAACCTGAAGTAAATCAGTCTCTTTAATAATGTTGTCAACATTCAGGGACCGAAGAAGGCTGAGAAGCAAGTGACTCGGGGGCGGCAATGCGTCAGGAGAAATTCAACTCCGCCGTAATTGTCCCACACGCCTGTTCCGGTTCGGGTAATGGCTAAGCGCGACTTGTCGGTGGTCGTCCTCGGCCTCTCCTTCCACAGCACACTTGAGATAAAAACAAAGTAGACATTTCATTCATTTTATGGTATGTAGGATTGTCTACTTCCCTGATGTTTAATATACTGTTTCAATCTGGTGTTGTACTCTTGTCTGCTCTGAACTAAAATTTGAAAATCATATATTCCAGAATCTGTCAAGTAGTCAATCTGTTTGGCATCTTCGGCTTGTGTTTTCCCAAAAAATTGAGGCCATACCTGTAGCGATTGAGCCACAAGCGGTTCTCGACAGGAGCCCATTTTCAATCACGTGCACACCAATTAGATTGCTCATCCTCCGACGCGCACGACAATACGACGCGTTACTAGCGATATTCTCACTCGAAACTCTTCTTAATTGATAAATGTTTGCCTCCAAATATTTCAGATGCCAAGCGGCACCTGGAAACATGGCAAAATGAACCTAAGCTCAGAGGCTGCACATACGGAGATTGGGAAGGCAGAAAGGATCTGGGTCTGCTTCTGGCTCGAGTTCAAGCAGAGAGAATCCAAGAGTCAATTATACAGCACAGGAAGAGGTTCTCAAAGAAAAGCTCAAGCTTCTACAATCACAAATGGACATTGCCCAAGGCCTGCTTGTTGATCTTACACACACATGCCCCAGGCCAAGTAATGATTCTGACGTTGATATTGACACAGATATGGAACTCGCCTACTAAACATTGATCCTAATCATGTAAATTACATTTTTTATTACTTTGAAGAGACACAAATGTGCTGGGCGGACGATCTACAATGCAAACGATCCAAAAACCACTCCGTGATGACCTAATATATCCGAGATGTTAGATTTTGGTGAGAGCCAAACAAGGACAAGTGTCACACTGATTTTGCAGGTGTTGCTGGCCCCCAAAGTGAGGTGCTGCAAGGCGGTGCCTGTCCAAATGGGTCAGCAACAGCTTTGCTAGCAACAGTCATAACTGAAGAACCACTTACTTGGCATCACTAATCACTGGTGTAAAGGATTGCAGATATTGCACACAGCCCAAAGGCAATGCGGGGGATATGTACAATGATTCTAATGTAGCCTCCATATATTATGATGTATGCTGCATGGCTAAACCTCCAGAAATGCCAAATTGACGACGGCAGAGTTGATCAAAATTGTTTTCACCCTCAGACAGGCTGATAGAATCTTCTTGAATACATCTTTACACCCTTTGAGGTTGGCCTGCTGTGTCACGCACTGGCTGTTGATTGACTTTGACTTTCTCCAAGCTCGAGAAAAGGGCCAGAAACTGTGGAAGCAGCTGCACCATAGGATCATCCCCATCATCTAGTATCATCCGGTAATTTGTGTGGATGGTCAGATAGGTAATCCCACTAACGTGCATAATGATAGAGCCAAGGGGAGGATATACATATACAGAGTATGACTCACACACTGTATTTCGAAGAACGACACACACACACGAAGTGTAACACATTCGAATGAAGTGCAACACCATTACAAAAAGAATGACACACCCTACGAAAGTGCAACACATTCAACAGAAGGTGGACACATGCCATTGAAGTGTGACACACACAACCCAAAGGATGACACATTCAGCTCAAAGGCGACACTCCACCTTGTAATATTTAATTGGGTCTTGAATGTACCAGTTCATGCAGGTTTAATAAAATAGGCTCATAACTTGCACCGCAGGCTGAGAAAAAAAATACCTGTATTCTATGTTTACCTCTACTTATGTGGTCAGTAAAATTTGATAGGCAACATGTCTGAAATCACAGTAATGTAGTTAACACCTGTTCTGGAACCTGGGAAAATTTAACACCCGATTGGGATTAACACCCAAATAGGCAGCTGCTCGAGCAGTTCATCTCCCTACAGGCTTTTCTTGTCATGTTATGCACCACAGGCCAGAAAAATATTTGAATAGCTCACTTTACTTGTGATAAATTGTAGGATACTCCAATTTGAACCCAGAATGCATTTTTGAACCATTGGGAAGAAAAATTGTGTTGTTCTGAGCATATAAAGTCAGTTCTACTCAATGCAATTGCTCATCAAAGTATGAGTCAATGCTAATAAAATATTTCAGGGTA